GCCTCAGCAGAGGACATTGACGGCACTACCGATGATGATGAGGACGAAATTTATGTCAAGGACGCTTTCTTGGTTTTTAGGGCACTCTGCAAGCTGAGCCATAAAATACTGAGCCATGATCAACAACAAGACCTCAAGTCTCAGAATATGAGATCAAAATTGCTGTCGTTGCACCTTATCCATTACCTCATGAACAATCATGTCGTGACCTTTACATCTCCCCTCTTGACCATCAGAAATAGCTCCAACAGCCCGGACGCGATGACACTACTACAAGCTGTCCGACCTCATTTGTGCTTAAGTTTGAGTCGGAATGGGTCCAGCTCGGTGCCCAGGGTGTTCGAAGTTTGCTGTGAGATTTTCTGGCTAATGCTGAAGGATATGAGAGTGATGATGAAGGTTAGTATGCTTCATTGACTTTTTCGCGCCGATCGATCTAATAATCAGCAGAAAGAACTCGAGGTTTTCCTAAAAGAGATATACTTGACTATTCTCGAAAAGCGCAATTCTCCCCTTTTCCAGAAGCAGTACTTCATGGAAATTTTGGAGCGATTGGCAGGTGATCCGCGCGCCTTGGTGGAAATGTATCTCAACTATGACTGCGACAGAACTGCGTTGGAGAACATCTTCCAAAAGTATGTCATAGTTCTAGACTCCTCTCGTACAACTTCTGACTGTCTTCTAGTGTTATTGAGCAGTTGTCACGATATGCAAGTATACCAGTCACAGTCACCGCTTTCCAGCAACAACAGTACCAGGAGCACCATGTCAAGGTCTCAACTATTGGTAGTGACTGGCATCAACGGGGAACCTTGCCACCCAACCTTACCACTGCTAGCGTAGCCAGTGGTCATCAGCCAAACCTACAGCATGTGCCTCCTGATTATATACTGAAGAATCAGGCGGTCGAGTGCCTGGTGGAAATTCTACAGTCACTAGACAACTGGGCCTCGCAGCGTCTAGTCGATCAAGCGGCGCCGGTTCTCAACTCATCTTCTCAGAAGTCAATTGACAATCCTAGGGACTCAATGGAAACAACTGCCCCTACCTATCTTTCATCTCCGAGGATCGAAAGCACTGACGGCAGTACCACACCTGTGGCGGAGGACGACCCGAGCCAAATTGAGAAGGTCAAGCAAAGAAAGATTGCCTTCACCAACGCCATTCAACAGTTCAACTTCAAGCCCAAGCGGGGAGTCAAGCTTTTTATTAAAGACGGCTTTGTACGTTCCAGCTCGCCCGAGGACATTGCCGCGTTCTTGTTCCGGAATGATCGGTTGGACAAAGCCATGCTAGGTGAGTATCTCGGTGAAGGAGAGGCCGAGAATATCGCCATCATGCATGCTTTCGTTGATATGATGGAATTCTCAAAGCGGCGCTTCGTCGATGCTCTGCGTCAATTCCTACAGCACTTCCGCTTGCCTGGAGAAGCACAGAAGATCGATCGTTTCATGCTCAAGTTTGCGGAGCGCTACGTAACCCAGAATCCGAACGCATTCGCAAACGCGGATACGGCGTACGTTCTTGCTTATTCCGTCATCATGCTCAACACAGATCAGCATAGTGCCAAGATCAAGGGGCGCCGCATGACGAAGGAAGATTTTATCAAGAACAACCGCGGTATCAACGATAACCAGGATCTGCCTGATGACTATCTCGGTTCCATCTACGATGAAATTGCAAAAAACGAGATTGTCTTGGATACTGAGAGAGAACATGCTGCCAATCTTGGCATTCCGACGTCTGCACCCAGCGGCGGCCTCGCGTCTAGGGCTGGACAAGTTTTTGCAACCGTGGGGCGCGATGTTCAAGGTGAAAAGTATGCGCAGGCCTCTGAGGAAATGGCAAACAAGACCGAGCAGCTTTATCGTAGTCTGATACGAGCGCAGCGGAAGACAGCTGTCAAGGAAGCTCTCTCACGCTTCATCCCGGCAACCTCTGTCCAACATGTTGGTTCCATGTTCAATGTCACCTGGATGTCTTTCCTTTCTGGCTTGTCTGCTCCGATGCAGGATACCCAGTACCTCGAAATTATCCGGCTTTGCATGGGAGGTATGAAGCTGGCTATACGTATCAGTTGCGCGTTCGAACTTGAAACCCCACGTGTCGCGTTCGTGACGGCCTTGGCCAAATTTACCAACCTGGGCAACGTCAGGGAGATGGTAGCAAAGAACGTGGAGGCGTTGAAAGCCTTGCTTGACGTCGCTCTCACGGAAGGAAACCATCTTAAGGGCTCTTGGAGAGATATTCTCACGTGCGTCAGTCAACTCGACCGTCTTCAACTCCTCACCGATGGTGTCGATGAAGGTTCCCTACCTGATGTCTCCCGAGCTCGCATCGTGACTCAACCTCCCACGGACGGATCTCGGAAGTCAATGCAAGCGTCAAGGCGGCCTCGCCCTCGGTCAATCAATGGACCTACAGCTTTCCGTACTGAGGTTGCAATGGAAAGTCGATCTGCGGAAATGATAAGGGGAGTGGACCGGATCTTCACCAATACGGCCAATCTCTCTCACGAGGCCATTATTGATTTCATTAAGGCCCTAAGCGAGGTCAGCTGGCAAGAGATCCAATCGTCTGGGCAAACTGAATCCCCTCGGACATACAGCCTGCAGAAATTGGTTGAAATCAGTTACTACAACATGACAAGAGTCAGAATAGAATGGTCAAAGATTTGGGAGGTCCTCGGGCAGCACTTCAATCATGTGGGTTGCCATTCGAATACCACTGTGGTCTTCTTCGCTCTTGATTCGCTTCGCCAACTTTCGATGCGCTTTATGGAGATTGAGGAGCTGCCGGGTTTCAAGTTCCAGAAAGACTTCCTCAAGCCGTTCGAGCATGTTATGGCGAATAGCAACGTTGTCACTGTCAAAGACATGATTCTTCGTTGTCTCATCCAAATGATTCAGGCGCGTGGTGACAATATCCGCTCAGGTTGGAAAACTATGTTTGGCGTCTTTACGGTTGCTGCTCGCGAGCCATATGAAGGCATTGTCAATATGGCTTTTGAGCATGTCACCCAGATTTACAACACCCGCTTTGGAGTTGTTATAACACAGGGTGCCTTCCCTGACCTTATTGTCTGCCTCACTGAATTCTCCAAGAATTCGAAGTTCCAGAAGAAGTCGCTACAGGCAATCGAGACCTTGAAGTCTACTGTTACGAAAATGCTGAGGACGCCAGAGTGCCCGCTGTCTCATCGCGGTGCGTCACCTGAGGGTTTCCATGAAGATGCCACCAACCTTTCTCAGCAACTCACCCGTCAGTCCAAGGAGGAGCAGTTTTGGTACCCGATCTTGATCGCCTTCCAAGACGTGCTGATGACCGGTGACGACCTTGAAGTCCGGTCACAAGCGTTGACGTATCTCTTCGAGACATTGATTCGTCATGGCGGTGAATTCCCGCAAGAATTCTGGGATGTGCTTTGGAGGCAGCTCCTCTATCCTATCTTTGTGGTGCTACAGTCCAAATCGGAAATGTCTAAGGTGCCCAATCATGAAGAGCTTTCTGTGTGGCTGTCAACCACCATGATCCAGGCACTGCGGAATATGATTACCCTGTTCACCCATTACTTCGACGCACTGGAGTATATGCTCGATCGCATTCTCGAGCTCCTCACTCTGTGCATCTGCCAGGAGAATGATACGATTGCACGGATCGGTAGCAACTGTCTGCAGCAGCTGATCTTGCAGAATGTTACCAAGTTCCAGCTGGAACACTGGAAGAAGGTCGTTGGCGCTTTTGTCGAGCTATTCAGCAAGACTACGGCTTATGAATTGTTCACTGCTGCAGCGTCCATTTCTTCAAAATCACCTGGCTCGCTGAAACCTGCGAATGGAGACTTTGCCTCAAATGAAGAGTCCGGACAAGAGTCTTCCGAAACCGCGTCCGATCAGGAACAAGTTGCTGAAGCGCAAAAGGCCAATGGAACGCAAAATGTGACCTCTGAACACGAGGAGGGTGACATGCCTGCGGCCTCAACTCCTGCATTGGAGGATTACAGACCTCAGGCAGACGCCCAGCAACAGCCGGCCGCTGTGACCGTGGCTCGCCGCCGGTTCTTCAATCGTATCATAACCAACTGTGTGCTCCAGTTGCTCATGATCGAGACTGTCCACGAACTTTTCTCGAATGATAAAGTCTACGCACAGATTCCCAGTCACGAGCTTCTTCGCCTGATGGGCTTGCTGAAGAAGAGTTATCAGTTCGCGAAGAAGTTTAACGAGGACAAGGAATTGCGGATGCAGCTTTGGCGTCAAGGATTCATGAAGCAGCCTCCCAACCTCCTCAAACAGGAGAGTGGAAGTGCCGCCACCTATGTTCACATCCTCTTCCGAATGTATCACGATGAAAGAGAGGAGCGGAGAAGCAGCCGTGCTGAAACGGAAGCGGCTTTGATTCCGTAAGTGTTGCAATCGATATTTGTCTATATGATTTGATCAAGGCGTTTTTGCTAACCGGCCGTCTTTGCACCAGACTCTGTGCGGATATAATTCGCAGCTTCGTCCGTCTTGACGAAGACTCCCAGCATCGTAATGTAGTCGCCTGGCGTCCAGTTGTTGTGGACGTGCTCGAGGGCTACACCAACTTTCCTTCTGAGGGCTTCGACAAGCACATTGGGACTTTTTACCCACTAGCTGTTGATCTATTGGCTCGTGACCTGAACCCCGAGATTCGAATTTCGCTCCAATCCTTGCTGCGCCGAATCGGTGAGGCGAAACTAGGTATACCTGTCGGCCAAACATCTCTGCCGTCTGGTCACAGGAACTCTGTGTCGAGTCAGTTTTCCCGCAAACACAGCGGGGGACACTAGGCGAGAAGGCAGCGCTCGAGTGTTCTATGTTGATGTTGTTCTTTTTATTATTTGTTTTTCGCTTTTCTTGGATATCCTCCCCTACAGGACCGTAGGGCTTTTTATCAATTTGGAGGAGTATTGAATGTAGACCTAGCACAGCATTGCATCATTTTCAATTATTACCCTTCAAAGCTGTTCGTTCCAAAGGGCTTATATTCTATGTACAAAATAGCATTTATCATGGGAGCGTTTCCGTTATGATAGATAGGTCTGAGTCACTGAGCGATTATCAGTAAACTTGGATGTGCCCTTGGACATGAGTGAGCTGTCCTAGGCCTCACGAAGCCAATATCGATTTAAAGTGCTACAGGGTCTCTACTGAGCGGCTCCGGTCAAGAGGACCGAACTTCATTCAGGGTTGGGATTTTCCCGGATGCGTAATGGGTCAAAAGACCGTCCATGTCACTGTCATCCATCTGAACAAGATCCTCTAAGCTCCATGACTCGCAAACTCCAGACATCCTATAACATCGATCAGTGGGGGGAGGTCATCGTACCGAGCGCATGACGAGATTAGGACAAGCGTACCATTTCATTCGTTTCGGGCCTTGGTCAGGATTGGGGGCGATATCCCTCAGCTTCCTCCGCAATTTACCCACGTTGTCTATAGCTGCGCCCATATTATCGGGGAGAGTGTCCGCTATCTTCTTGCGGACAATGCTGGCCAATTTGGGTCCGTTTCCATTGGTACTGACCATGACCTGCAATGGCCCATCACGATGGACGCTACCAAAGTAAAAATCACATTCCGACGGCACATCAGCTATGTTTGCCGGGATCCGCTTCTCCTTGCAGAGCTTCCAAACCTGTGTCGAGGCGTCCGGATCATCAATGGCACAGAGCACCATATCTGCGCCTTCCAGATCGGCAGGCTCAAAGTTCCTATCAATGTGATTAACTTGTCCCTCTGCTACCCGAAAAGCCACTTCATCATTGAGGCCGGAGGTAGGGCAGACAACGGTTACTTTGGCATCGGCATTGAGGGCGTGGAGGATGCGACCTGCAGCCACCTGAGGCGGAATCCTCGGTAAGCAACAATTATATATCGTAATAAATTCAGGCTAAACGGCCTAGGCAAGGGGAGGCTCACTTCTCCACCACCAACAACTAGAACATGTTTCGCTTTCGCCTGCCAGGCGACTATGAGGGAGCCTCCTCCTTGCACGGGAGGGAATCTGTGTGCCATGATTCGATAATCTGCAGGCCAACTCACTCACTTGACCGCGGGGTTACAGGGAGCTTATCTTGGGCTCCGACGGTTTGCAGGGAAGCAAAGCAGTAAGTGGGGGAGCTCGAGTACGGGGGGCCACAGGCACCCAAACTGCTTTCGTTTTCGAACCTCCACTTGAAATTTTTCCCGACGAGAAATTTCCGGACTAATTTTCTTTTTTCTTTCATTTCCCTCCGCTTCCCTTCCCTTCCCTTTTTCTTTTTCCTTCTTCCCTCCTTGCTTTCCTCCCTTCGGCGCTTGAGATGATCTTGCTGCCTACCTTGTCTTCTATTCCCTCTTGGTCAATGGTCTATGTCTGTTAGCTCATCACAATCCTAAGATGCGGGGAGTACAGATCTTCTCGGGGACATCCCACCCCCTCCTGGCTGAAACCATCTGTGAACGCCTGGGGACCCAGCCGGCTCGTGCCGATCTTGGGAAGTTCAGCAATGGCGAGACCAGTGTAAACATTGGGGTTTCGGTGCGTAACCAAGATGTTTACATCGTCCAGAGCGGCAGCAGCAAGATCAATGACAGTGTCATGGAACTCTTGATCATGATCTCCGCCTGCAAGGGCGGGTCCGCAAAATCTATCACAGGTATGTGCGGACCTCTTTCCCGCCAATCCAAGTTCGCTGGCTGACCCATACTTCTTACTTCCAGCGGTCATGCCGTATGCTTTTACTTGACTCCATGGCTGCACGTCTGATGCTGACACAAACGAGGTACTTCCCGTACTCCCGCCAGTCTAAGAAGAAGAGCCACCGTGGTGCCATCACTGCCCGCATGTTGGCCAACCTTCTCTCGATCGCTGGGGTGGACCATGTGATAACTTTGGATCTGCATGTGAGTCACAAGGCGATCTGTCTGTTGCGCTGGTTTCGCAAATGCTTTATTGCGTGGCATGGATGGAGTTCTTATGAACGTGATCGCTAGGCATCCCAAATGCAGGGCTTCTTCGGAAAACCCGTGGATAACCTGTTCGCCGAGCCCTTCATCGCCCGCTGGATTCGTATGAACGTGCCGGGTTGGCGCGAGGCTGTTGTGGTCAGCAAGAATGCAGGAGGCACCAAACGTGTCACTTCGCTAGCAGACACACTTAAACTCAACTTTGGCATCGTCACGACTGATAGGAGACGTCCGAAAGTACCCCTGGGTATGACGGACAGTACTGTCTTTTTCGATTCTATCGAAGAAGAGAGCACCCCCGTCGCCAAGGATAAGGACCAAGACCCTTTCACTCTCCACCTACAAAGTGGAACTAGTGAGTGCAGTCAATCCGGAGATTCCAGGGGTGAGCCGAACACCAACATGGAGTCTCTTGTAGCGGCAAATTACTTGCGTCCTGAAACTCCATCAGGCGCTCGTCGTCCTTCGGAATTGGAGGCTGCACATGAGTATACTGATGTGCGAGTGCGTGAGGTCATCACTGGGCGGCTCGTGCAAGGTCACCTTGTGGACGACGACTACCCGTCAACCGGTCCTACTTCGCACCCCGCTTCCGGGGAAACCACTCCGGGTCAGAGTGCCAGCCGTGATGAGCCCGACACGGTCCCAGATTCAATGGTGAACTCTCTCATATCCAACACTTCTTCCCTCCCCGGCGACCATGCTTTAGGTGGCTCATTCGATGCTGCCGAATCTTCAGACGAAGAGGGCAGCAGCGGAAAGCACGTTGAGGAAGAAAAGACCATCACATTGGTTGGCGACGTCCGTGATCGGACTGTGTTCCTTGTCGATGATATGATTGACAAGAGTAAATCATGGACTGCCGCAGCAGAAACTGTAGTGAAGAAGGGCGGTGCCAAGAAGGTATACTGCATTGCCACCCACGGCCTTTTCACGGAGGAGTCCCTCGAACAGATGGAAGCTTGTGAGTCGATCGACCACATCGTCGTTACGAATAGCTTCCCTGTTCCACCGCAGGTGGTGAAGAGGTCAAAGAAGTTGATTGTCATTGATATTTCGAGTCTTCTGGCCGAAAGCATCAGGCGCCATCATTACGGTGAAAGGTTAGTCGCCTTTCGAATTCGGTTACAGGATGATTGCTAATCTGTCCAAGTGTTTCGGCGTTGTTCCACCTTACTGACTGATTCGGGATTGTCAATTGGCCTCAGCCTTCGGCATCCGAAGGGTCCTGGCGCTTCTTGCCTTCCCTTCTCTTCCAACTTCCCTCCCGAGTATCCCGGGCAACACTATAGCAAGCCCGGAGATCGGTAAGATGATGACTAAAGACAGTGACGAGTAAATTTGATGACTTCTTCCTCTTTCCGTACAGCGCATGGCGACTTCCTTTGCTTCGATTTATGTGTCGCAAGCATCATCTTATGTGATGATATCATCAGGATACCTTTTCTCACTCACAACTCATGACTGAAGCTAAATTCAACCATACGGTGTGACCATGCGACGGCTGCAAATCACAGCCAGCTACACGTCGATTATGAAGACTAGCTCTACTGTCGAATTTATCAAAGACGGGGCCCGGAACCCTAGTCTTATTAGCCCTTGCGATCAAGGCTGTCACTTTTCTTTTCATTTCTGCTTTCTGCGTAGGTGCGCTCAGGCCGGTCAATTTGCAATGGCACGGAAATTGAGGAAGCATGTCACAACTTTACACCAGCGATGCAGTCCACTCTGGGTACTGCAAGAGCATCTTGTTGGGAAGGAGATTTTCTCTGGACCTAGTTCACAGGATGTTCTTAACGGAGCGTTGGGAGATCATTTGTCCAATCTTGTCCGGCCCATCATCATTTCATGCCATCTGGTGTGTGACGGTAGTGGTGCTGTGCAAGGTTGGCCGAGGAATGAAGGCATCAGTTTCTTGGATTTACATCCTGCGGCCTTGGCCAGTGGAACTGATGCAAGAGAACCTCTCGGACATTACAGTATACCTTGTTAAATGTAGTTTTGTTAGCTTGTACAGGTTCTTGAATATTACAATTTTTGGCTTCCACACTCGTCATGGATCAATCTGTTGTGACGTGATGGTCTTGACTGTCCGCCATCTCAGCTCCGGTGCTTCCCACAATGAGATGTCTGTATCCTTCGGGTGGAACTTACTCGAGGTCTGGCATCGTTCTGACAGGTTCAGAGGCGAAACGAGGTCTAGCCTATAGTTTCAGTAGTTTGGCTTGACAGGAGCCAGCTGAAAGACGCCTCGCACTCGATTTCATTCAATGACTATCAAAGGTCGTACAGCGGAACCGCCGGACAGCTGTCCGGTCTCAGTCAGTGGATATGTTTTCGGGACCCTTGGTGGCCAGGTTTAATGACAACAATAGCGGTGTGCATGAGGCCGAGTGCTGAGCGCACAACTGGTACATGTTGGTTGGCGACACCTTCCGCTAGCCGAGATGGTGATGAACAGCATCCAATGCTGATGGCACCTTCCGGAAGCACTGAGAGAGCTCCCGACATGCAAACTTCGACAACTAATTGGCAGTCGCGCGAAGACATCAGCTCCGGCAAATCAATTAAACTCTCCCCGGTCATTCGTACGTGATATCACAATCGTGGGAAAGAATGCCGTTGTTCTAGCCCAGTCGAACATGGGTCCTAAACAGCTCGTTTACAGGCGCCACCGCAGGACTACACATTTGGCAGGTCATCGAACAAATGGGGTTTGTTGAAAAACTCGATGACTGTGGGGGCCGGCGCTCTTGCGGCCCTGATGATAGGAAGGTAACAAAAAGACGTATCGAGAAGCCAAAAGTACCTTGCGTCACCGGAACCGGGCTACGCAGCTCGAAGCCCAGCACCATGGGAAACCAAGTGGTCCTAGGGGCAACACTAGTAGGGACCGACGCGCACCGGGCCAGAAATATGCCCGGGAGCCACTCCCGGTAGATCAGGGAAGCGTGCAGCCAAATGTTCGACTTTCGACTAGACATATTCTCCATTACCTGATTGAGAAGAAAAGCGGACGCTGTCCCCTCCAGGCCCGTGAAACTAAATCAAACCATTCGGAGCACCAAGGCCAGTCCGGTGATATACCACCCTATTGCATTCTGATGTTTATTGGTCCCCGACAGGGGTACCCTTGGACCACGAACCGTGGAGCGCGACATGGACGACTCGGATGTTTTACACACGCCGCACCTTTCAACCTGCGGCGTGGCTCTTCAAACCACCCCCGGGAGTTATCAGCAGGGAGCCCATTGCTTCTGACCCAGACTTATGCCGTACGAAGTTTATGTAACAGTCACACATTTCACGACAGATGACAACTGCCAGCCATGTGCGTAAGAATTGGCCTGAGCGCCGGGCCGAGTTGCGAGCCAGTGTCATGCCTGAATAAGAGCATAAGAGGAGAAAGCTCGGGGCACTTGACGCACCGCGTGCCCATTCAGTTCAATGACAGTCAGACACCTAGTCAATCTGGGTGAGGGTGCCCCAGAGACGTCAACTTGGAGCGATGGGCCCCTGTGATTTGCCGCGGCAATTTGAATTTACTCCTTAGTACCAGCCGGCTCTCCGACTAGATCCAGCGCCAAAGCATTTAGCACGTCCAGATGGAGCGGACCCCTGGCATTCAGCGACTCAGTTGGAGGGATCGACGCGTCCGACTAATTTGGGTGAGCGGAAGATTTCCCGCAGGTCAACTATCCTCCGGGCCTCGCTTGAAAGTGAGGAAATTAACGAGTGATGACGGTTTGAGAAACAGGCCAGCCGCAATGGACAAAAGTACGTTCTTGCAGGATTGGCAGGCCCGTTTCTGTCACACCAGAAAAAGTTTTTCTTTTTCTTTCCTTTTCCTTGTCTTTCTATACCTCAGCTTGCCATTCCCGAATTCTGTGCCACTTCAAAGTTTAGTGGACTAGTGGCTGAAATAACCTTAGAGGTAACGCTGGATACTGAGCAATCCCTCCAGCAAGCCACTTAGAAACGTACCTGGTTGGCGGGCCCGCGGGTCCTCTGCAAATGCCCGGAGCGATCGGCCACAGATCAGCAAGGAGCCCGAGAAGGTAGGGAGATTACTCAAAGAATTCAGTTGGCTGAGAAGTCTTACACCCCCAACGCCCGGAACGTTCTATGCATCGTACATTGAGAGGGGGTGCAGGTAGAGTCAAGGATATGCAGACGGAAGGACGGGTGCAAGAGTGGAAGGTACGAAGGGAGGGTATGAATGAAAGGACGATGCGATGCAGATCCTGGCTTGAAGACGAAAAGATGTGCCTGTGTACTTGTTGTTCGTCCGGTCGGGGAATCCCTGCTGGCGATGGTGGATCGACTGTAATCGGACGTCGATGTGTGCTCCTGTCGTGGGCCGTGAGAGGAGTCGAAAATGGCTGGAAAGGCACCGTCCATTAACAACCGGGGCAGCTCGGTGATGTTACAAGATCAAACAAGTTGGCAGAAGCTCAGCAGATGGGGCATCCTGTTCAGATAGACCGGAGATGAGCTGGTCTTCACGGACGACACTAAGATGATCCGGCTTTCCCAAATCGGATGGGCATGACGTTTCCGAAAATTAAGAGTGACAAACAAGGATACATTTTTTGGACTGAACTGACAGAGAATTGTCTATCATTCCCAGATATCCTCTTCGGACGTGCCCCATCCTCTATCAACCTGGCGGGGACCGAAAGTCGTCCGCATCTGCCTCTGTACAACTAGAGACTGGGCAAGATAGAGATGGAGGGTGGAGATGGGGAAGATGGGTCACAAGAAAGTCAACAACCATCTACAGAATGGGAATCTACTTGATGCTCCATCAGAATGGCCTATGCTCTCAAGAACCAGGATAGACAGACTAAACAGCGTCGGGTCAGATCTGCACGCCAAAGCAGCAGCGCACCGCAGGGCTGGAACCCATTCAGCCCCCAAACGGAAGCGCATGAATCGGGAATGGGGGTTCCAGATCCTGAGTCCAGGCATTCCCGGGTCGAGCTTCAGCTCCTCCCTGGGGAAATCCTAATTTTAGGGGCGAAAGCTTAAAGACTTGAGCGCAGACCAGAAAAAAGAAAAAACAAAACACAACACGAAAGGGCTAGTAAAAAAGGGAAAAAGGAATTAAGGAATAAGCGGCTGTCGCCTACAGTTCCGCACCCACTTGGTTGGGTCCACTGGCGGCGATATATCACTTCCATCATCTCCTTCTAGACTAGGTTCCTGGATTAGCTTGTGTCGCGCTTCCCAGACCCAGATTTGTGGTTGACTAGGATAGGAGATGATGGGATGGGATCGTGAGGATGATGTAGGTTGGTCGTGTGCTTTCTTTTGCCTTTTCGGGGTCCGGCACTCAACCCATGGATCTTTCTCTCTCTCACACACACATCATAGTACTAGAGAGAGTACTTGTTCTTTTCCCTTAACCATTCATGCAAACTAACTACCTACTTAATACCTTTTCTGACAGCTTATTCCCCGAATCTTCCCCCATCTGCACCCTCGTTCTTCCCACCAACCTCCCCCATATTTCTGTTTTTGTCCATCACATTCTCCTTTTCCATCGCTGGATCCTTTCCTTCCTCACAACACCCTCTTCCCTGTCGCTTGTTATCCATCACTCAACTCTCTGTCGCTTTCTCCACTCAATTAATGACCCGTCGACAGCCTCGGGTACTTGCAGCTTGATTCCCTGCCGACGGAAAGAGCCATTCCATGCAGCAGACCTGCTTCTAGTCTGGACCTCGTACAGCTGCTGGGACCTTCTCTGAACAACGGTCAATCCGAAGCAATGCACCCATCGCATCACTGAAAAGGAGATGTCTCATGCGCTGGTCCAATTTGAAACCTCGTCCTCTATATAAAGCTATGGCGACGCATCCCAAACGTCCTTTGTCTTTCATCCATCATCAACAACTACATCCATCTTCTTTCTCTCTTCATTCTTCTCTTCCTTGACTCTCAGACAACTCCATTGTCGCCTTTCTCATTTCAGAGTTTCCACTCTGCTCTTTCGTCTACACTCTCAGGGACAACCAGGTCGTTTGCCTTGCATTGCAATTGAAGAAGCTCCGGGGCTCTCCATCCCTTCGGCTTCAGTACTTGAATATCACGAGATATCTCGTATCACTGCAGCTTTGCGCGATTTACGCATAGTTCTACACCCACCACTTCTGTGGCAGAAAGTAGTATGTGAAAGGATCCTCATTATAATTTCCAGTTCCTGGCAACACACAAATTGGAAGGATATTAACATGCTGGAAATTAGCGACGAAATGGCCAACCAATGCTCGGGTCACGTTTTCGTCATCGTGCAGGCGACAAACGGGACTATCCTTACCTGGCGATGCTCTGACTGCAACTCCGGTCCGTATGTCGCTATCTGGCGCTGCAAGATCTGTAACCACTGTCGCTGCAACTCCTGCCACACCGCTAAAGGCTAAGAGGAATCACGTCACGCATGCTTTTTTGCCTCTCGATCGGTAAGTGCGCAAGTGGCCTGACTGCAATTGTTTGTGGAAGGCTGTGTACCAGTTGTGAAACTATAAGCTAACCTCTGTTCCTAGTTTGATTCGTACATTTCCTGGAACTTCGAAAAAGCCTTCTGCAGCACTCCTCGCGCCATACCTGCCGAAAGCCTATCAGCCCTTTCTTTGCGCCATTTGATTTTAATAAATATTTTTCTCCCCATTTCGTTCGCTTTTCAATTCTGTTCGGTTTCTCCTGCGACTGTTTGAAAAATTTTCCTCCATCACTGTGGCATACTGCGCATTGTCCCCTCGGTTTGCTGGTGTCCCAGATCGGAGTAGGGTCGACGGAAGTGCGCCTCTGCTTTGTGGTCTGGTCCAATCGGATATCTTCCTATTCCGGCCAGATCTCAATCGATCAACATCAAAGCCGTGGCTACCTGAGTGTGATTTGATATTAACTCATTGTCGCGACCAGAGGAGATGCGCCTCGACTCGTAACCGCAGACGCGGTGCAGGCAGTGCTTTTTCCCCTTCCCCGCCACTAATATCGTCCTCTCCACTCGTTTCCCGCCCCCCTTTCGTGCTTTTGCCATTGTTTCTTATGTTCTTTCCCGACGAAAAGTCCGAAAAGTCGTTCTGATGCAGAGCCACGGCCGGAATTTCATATGTGCACGATCTACTTTCGCCACAAAAAGCAGCATCGCTCTGGTGTTCAGGGTTCCGAAACAAACGGTCTGTTGGTGATTCAATTCCTATGCCGGCGTCTCCTTTCAAAGCAGAGAGAGCCTTGCATTCTTTGTCTTATTACACTCGACCCTATTTTTCAATTCTGTCTGTTTGTTTTTTTGAAATCTTTTGTGCGATAGAGATGACTTATAGACCCTTATCAGGAATACAATGCGGCGACGCAAATTTAATGGCATGACTCTTACCACAATCCGTAGACACATTCCCTCTCCTTGGCAAATTCCCAATACGCTAAAACAGACATGACACACGAAGATCCCGGGACACACCTGTACATAACATACTTTCCGATAAACAAACTATCTACGGAGTAGACTATCTATCTACTTGACCCAAATTAAATTTATCCCCGTCAATAATTTCCCCACTAATAATAATGACAATTCCTTAATGACAAGCAAAGTGGGCCACCCCCGGCCTCCTTCCGACCCGCAAAAATAGACAAAAAAGAGGACCACCCACCCAACCAACCAAACAGGAAATCTGCACCTAACTTCCAATCCAGCCTACCCCAGTTTAGTTTTACTTACCAAATCGGGCGCGGTGCATGATGTATCGGAAAAGTCAATTCGAAAAAAGGAAAATTAATACTAGATAGATTCTACAGAGTTCACAGAGTTAGGACTATTTATTCTAGTGTGCTACGGAGTACTTAGGTAGTCTAGTCTATATCGAATTTAGAAAGGGTAATGATTTAGTGAAATACTATCTATTTAGGGAAGGTAGTAACTAGTTAACTGATAATTAGTAGTACAGTCATCCTCTTTTTTTTCTTGGTGGGGGGGTTTTTGGTTTTCTTTTTCTCTGAGTTAGTAGATACTAACTATCCACATACTTCTACTACTCTTCATGGTTATAACTAGGATAGTATACATGAACGGGGCTACCTGTCTGTAAGTCATGCATGCATGTATGAAATAAGTATGTAAATGTAAGTATGGAAGCTTGAAAAAATAACTAAATGGGGCTTACTTACCAGGTAACTTACCTACTACTGTAGGTCATGCTTAAGTATGTGAGATATCAAATCCCGAATACCGAACTGGGAAATAGGGCGATGCGTGGGGAGAGAGAGAGAGAAGGGGGGGTTAGTGTCGGGATAAAACATCCCTTGAACTTTAGAGTTCAGGAATTCTTCTACTTTGGAGATACTGTATGGTCAGTGAGTGAGTGGATGTTTTATCCATCCACTTACTTGTCTAATTCACTGGGTACTTGGGACATGCTTGTAGGTGTGGCTGTATGTACTTTGCCTAGTATGTACAGTACTTACTTACTTACTTGGGTACTTGTCTTAGGTATGTATGTGTGAGTGCGTGCTTGTGTGTGTCTCTTTCTTTTCTCGGTCTCTCGGTCTCTCCGTTTTCGTTGAATATCCCTTGCGTAGAAGGTTCATGTACTCCGCATCGCAGGTAAACTCTCTTGCTTACTTACCTACTATCCTGGAATCCCGGGAGGTTGGGTTGAGTTGGGCACTATGGATCATTAGAATTTAAGTAGATGGGTTTTAGGATTATGGGATGGATCATGGGCTTGGGATGGGATAACACGGAATGGCAGGACTAGGAGGAATGGGTGATCCGTGGTGTGGGCACGGGCCCTTTCGAGGTGGAGTTTAGTCTCTACGTAGGTGGTCTTCTAGATGGTTCGTTTTTCTCCTTTTCTTTGCTCCTCGAGGCTAGTCTGTGGCGTCGATGGCGGGTATGATATTGGTATGTATTATTAGGTACTAGGTATGTAAAGCAAGTACAACCTGTCGACTAACAATCGGTACTGCAGGTAGGAGGCAAAACTCAGGTGTAGATACTCTGTAGATGAGATTTGTGATACGTTAGCTCATGTTTCACACAAATATCGGGAGGTAGGTAGTATCACCTCTGTGATCTGATTCACCGCCAATCCAGGCTCGGCCATGTTGGCATCCTTCAAGAACTCCAGTGGCATCCAGACCAGATGGCCCTTGATTTTATCCAGCTTCTCTCGGATTTCCTCGACCGGCTGGTAGGGGTCGAACAAGTGACCTTGCTTATTGCCGCGAGGACAGAATTTGTCGTAGTCATCGAACGTGCGGATATTGTCGTCGGGGTCGGCGCGGAATAGCATGCGGTACATGTCGGTGTTGACAGTGGCGCGGCCGGTCCACATCTCCCAGAGCTCGTCGCTCATGGGATCGGTGACGAAGTCGTCTTCGGGTCCCTCCAAAATGTGGTTCATGCACATGTAGGGGGGCTTTGCGTTCGGGTCTTCAGAAGCGTCATAGTGCTGAGCGGGGAGGAGGCCAAGGTGCTCCCGCCAGAGCTGGCGACGGAGAGTGGCAGCGACACGGGCGGCCTTGTACGGTTTGCCATCCATGATGCTGCCGATGAGGTCTTCGTCTTCAACAACAATAGCAAGCTCGCTGTCATGGTAGCCAAGTTGAGACTACTCTTGATCAGTATAGTGTATATGAGGGTTTAGGGGCTGGGGAATATACTCTGTCGTTGATGTTGGCACTTCCACAAATGACAACTCGGTCATCGACAATGCACACCTTTCCATGCACGTAGAGCTCTTCCTGGATAAAGTTCTCCTTCTCGGCCTCGGGATCGCCTTCCCACGGCTCATCGGACATGTTGCCGCCGTTGAGCATGGTGGTGTGGGCCACGGTGTCGCTACCCTTGAGGCCCTCCATCTCCTTGTGACGCTCAAACTGCTCCTCGTACTTACGCAGCCGTGCGAGACGAACCTCCTTCTCCTGTTGGGCATTGTCATACCCCACTTCATGCTTGTCGCCCTCTTTGCCGATAGCCGGGTGGACACTGTCACTCATGATAGACTCAGCAATGCCACGTTGAACATCGTTGTAAGTCACGTCTGCCTCTGACTCCAACTTGACAAGAGAAGGGGTCTTGTTGATACGATCGTATGCGCGCAAGTTGAACAGGAAAACGTGTTCTAGCTAGATCAGCTGGCAAACTCAAACAAACACAAAGTTCAACCTACCTCTGGGGTTCACGCCTTGGGCGGCGATCTGGCCGAAGATCGAGTGTTCACCGCGCAAGATCGACTTGTACTGGTAATCCATGATGGCGCGAGTGCCTGTCGCTTCATTCTGCCGGAGGTCTCCCGCAAATCCAGGGATGGCTGGGATCACAATAATCACTCGGAACTTTCTTCCCTCCTTGCCAGCTCTGACAACAGCCTCGACGATGGATTGCCCAATGGTGTTAAGAATCGGCGCCTGCTTGTCTCCAGTAGCAGTGACTTGGTGGGGTTAGCAGCTGGTACAGTGTTCAGGGTGAACATTCTTACTGAAGAATTGATTTTCAATGTAGACATAGTGCTGAGCCTGGCTGATGATCTCCTTGTAAGCGTTTTGGATGCTATGTTCAGTCAAGATTCCACTGCTCCAGTCGGCGCTACTGCGCACGATCTGCGCTCGTGCAAAGCCTTGCTGGCCGAGCGGCTTCGTATCTAGAGGCGTAAGAGGGTGCTGCAAGTACTCTCCGCAAGGGAACTTGGGACGCTGAACCGCAACAAGATCTTCATCGTCTCCAGTACGACCCTCGAGCATCAGCCAGTCCACACTGTTGTCCCGCTTGTACTTGTCCCGTTTGATGAAGTTCCACCGCAAGACAAAGTGCTCTGCGATGTCATACACACAGTCACCCATCACACCCATGGCAACGTCGTGCCAAGGCATTCGACCATACTCTGCCTTGCTAAGTTCGTTGGCCTGCCAGTCACCCACGCTCTGGAAATCCATGATTCTGTTGTTGTTGAACTCCTGTCCGGGGAAGACCTCGTTCCGCAAGTTCGAGGGGTGGACGTCGGCCAAGGGATGCTGGTGAGCGTCCCATCTTCCAAAACACAGATCAATACCTCCGATGAAAGCCAATGCGTAGTCGATGACAATGAACTTCTCGTGATGCGCCTGATTAAGTTAGCACGCGCTGCCGGATGATCCAAGATTCCAACTCACCCAGTACAAGGTCATGTCAGCTGCGTTCTCGAAGATGTTATGATCCGGATGGCGCAGGACTCTGATGTTTCCGTACCCAGGGCTTCCTTCGGGACAAAGATTGCGCAGCGCGTGCTTGGTATGAGCGGAGTTGCAAGTCAATGCTTGGTTGACCTAGACCATATCTTTTAGCAACATCATAAACGATGTGACTGGCACCTGAACGAACCTCTTTGTACACAATCACGTAGATTTTGACGCCCGCCTCGGCGCGACGCTTGAGAACCTGATCCAGCCGCCATTCCTGTGCCATGAACGGGGGTCTCCGGAGGAACAATTCAGGAGACAGCCACCAATCGGCAATGTAGATGGTCTCTTTGGCCTCCTCTAGGGCCATTGAGACGGCCCACATGTAGTCCAGAGCATCGACGTACCACTTGACCTTGTTACCCTCACGGATCGGTGCGAACGACTTGAAGCGGTGGGATTCGGAGATAGCGGTTCGTTTGGCATCGGTGGCTTTCTCGTGCGCTTCATCATGGCGATGATTGGGGTTGACAATGTTGAAGAACTTGCCAACTTTGTGCTTGAGGTGGAAAGCCTTCTCCTCGATGTGGGTTTCTGTCGGGACGGAGGGCGGTTAGTGGGATTCAGAGCAGTGGAGACAAGAATGACCTTTGAGCTGCTCCTCCAGGTTTTCAATCTTATGCTTAAACTTGTCCATGATGGCGGCGTATTCAGATCGACAGCCTCCAGAGAGAATGAGGGACTGAGGAGAAGAGGGGGAGAAGCAGAACAATTGTTGGAGCAGCCGCCCTGTAGGGACGGAAAATGAGGGGGAGGAAGAAACGCGGGCTCCACCACACGAGGCCGATGGAGCTATCGGTTGCGATGCTGCCTGAACCGCTGAATGGATGAATGTTTCAGATCGGCGGATCGGCGGGGGGCAGATCCAGATTTCAGAGCAGCTGCAGTGCAAGAAAAACCAGTTTCCACTTTCCAGAGATGCACTGGAGAGGAAGAAGACTTTAAATACAAAGTAGATTAGATCAAGCAGTCCGGAGTAGATTGGCAGATTGAATCCAACGCGAGCATGACATCACTGCCTGAGTGCCTGAGACAGAAACCCCCTCCTCCCAGCCTTATCGCCTCAGGCACAGCAGTCGTCACTCATTACCAGCCATTCCATTCCATTCAGACTTCCGTGATCTTCTGGTCTGTCGCACCACAGCAATTCCCTGTTTTTCAACCAACGCGGTCTCGGAGACTCCGTCTGGGCATTCTTCTCGAAAGCAAGCGATAGGCCGCCTAGCAATAGCGTGCCTCTACCGTATCGGGGGAGGATTTCCGGTACGCTCCACCCGCTGCCATTGGTTGTGTCCAGCACCACACAGTCCACTGTGCACGATGCCGTCCCTGACCAGTGGCACAAAGCACTAACATTTTCACGTCCAGTAAGTAGCACACCATGAGGGCCTTGCGCAATATCTACAAGGATGAGGTGGACTTTACGGCTCTTGCCTTGCAGTCTCCCGAGTTTGCAAAGTAGTCAGTCCATCCGGTGTAACCTGTGTGCTCACTTTCATCTCAACTCACTAAAACTTCTCCAGCTTGAAATCCAATGGGCAGCTGGACTTTAGCGACCCGGACGCTGTTCGGTGGGTCAGAGACTAACCTGAATGGTAGCTGCAATTGCCACTGACACGTACTCAAGTCAATTGACCAAGAGTCTGCTGCAACGCGACTTTGAGCTGAAAGTCGAGATTCCGGAAAATCGACTGTGTCCACCGGTACGTCTGCCAGCTGCCGATTTCCGTTCCTGCAGCTAACAAGGACACGTGCAGGTCCCAAATAGGTAAATGACTGCCTGTCTATAGACTAGTTGCATCGTGCAATGCAGCTGACCCCAAGTATAGACTCAATTACATCCTGTGGCTGCAAGACCTGCTCGATACCACTGGCGATGAATACCGCGATAACTATGACCCTGACCGAGAAGTTATCGGACTTGACATGTAATTCACCACTCCACCTTCGGAGAACTCGGTCGCTAACCCACTAGTTAAGTGGGACAGGATGCTGCAGTATCTACCCCCTGCTAGGTTGTTCCATGCGACCTCATTGGCGCTTCGTCGCAACAGGTATGTTCAACGTTATGCCGTATGCGCCTTTACTCACACGTACGCAGACATCGACAACGACAACATCCGAACATCGCGAGACACAATCTCTAAGAACAAACTTGATTCTCGCATTGAGATCATCCAGACAGACCCGAAGGATGAGCTGATTCCATTAGACACAAAGCTCAATGTCGACAGGTAACTACAACCCCCCACTCTCACTATACACCACTAACCCTCCACAGACTTGACTTCACCATGTGCAATCCCCCATTCTACGCCTCGCGCGATGAATTAATAGCTTCTGCAGAAGCCAAAGAGCGACCTCCCTTCTCGGTAAACCTGATCATCGCCCATCCTCATCCCGCCATTCACTAATCCTAATAGGCCTGCACCGGCGCCGAGGTAGAAATGGTGACCACCGGCGGCGAAATCGCCTTCATCACGCGCATGATCGAAGAAAGCCTGCGCCTCCGCGAGCGAGTAATCTGGTACACCACCATGCTCGGCAAACTGAGCAGCGTATCCGTTCTCATCGAGACGCTCCTCGAACACAAGAACAACAACTACGCCGTGACCGAATTCGTCCAAGGAAACAAAACCCGAAGATGGGCCATAGCCTGGTCATGGACCGATCTGCGTCCAACAGTCGTACGATCTATCTCTCCTCCTTGTCCTATCCCACCAAACAACCAAGCTAATAACTATTTAGTCTATAGCACGAGGCACCACCGCCATCCCCAAACACCTCCTCCCCTTCCCCTCAGAATACATCTTCACCACACAATCCGAGTCCATCGACGAAGTAAGCGCCAAAATAGACTCAGAGCTCTCCGCCCTACACGTCCAATGGCTGTGGCGCAAGAACCTCGCCACGGGAGTCGGGTTCGCGATGCAGAACGTCTGGTCTCGGCAGGCGCGTCGCAAGATGCAGAACCCGGATGCGATGGCTGAGATGGGGGAGATTGATGAGACGAAGGCAGCACTGGGGTTCAAGGTGCAGTGTAAGAAGGATGCGATTGATGAGAAGGGGGTGAAGGTTATTGTGAGATGGCTGAAGGGGAGGGATACGGTCTTGTTTGAGAGTTTCTGTGGGATGTTGAAGAGGAAGGTTGAGAATAATTAGTAGCTACAATTGTAGATAGGAAGTAGATGCATAATTACACCCTGGGTTTCTATTGCAGATTAGAGGTCGATAAAGTCGAACAAACAAATGAACTCTCATGAATGATCTATGTATATGCTGCTGCTTCTGCTCTCGCAATCACAACCCAAAAAGGAGAACAGTATAATACTTTTTCTTTCAAACCATGCCTCCCATAACATAATGCCACCAACCATCACTATCTACTAATTACTCCCCACCTCACTCTGCAACTCCTTCAACCTCTCCCACCCCTCACTATCCTCCCAAAACTCCTTCCCCTTACCCAAAATGCCCCTAACCGCACTCCTAGCCTTGAACCTCCAATCCTTCGCGACCATCTCCTCCGTACCCTCCTTATCCATCGGACCAAACCGCGCATACCCATCTCTCACCAACCTCTCCGTAGCCTTCACAATCTCCATCCACCTCTTCTCATCAGCCATCTGGAACGCGCCCTGCGAGGCCGAGGCAACCGTCGCGCGCCACGCCTTCTCATGCGCCTCGAAAGCCATGCTCGGGCGTTCACGGAACACCTCCACCCTAGCGACGAGGAGCCACAGCGGCGCGGAGTGCGTGATCAGCGGAACGATGCTGGTGTCGATGAGCGAGAGGATCTGGCCGGCGATGGTGCCGCTGCGGACGACCTTGGCGTTAGAATCGTCGCCATCGATGGAGATGAGGAGGTCGGAATAGTTGTATGCAGTGACGAGGTGGTCCACGAGCAGTCCTGTGATGGGCAGGTCGATGCACTTCTCGCCGTTCTTGGAGCCGTGGAGTTCGATGACACGGCGTTGGGCGGTGATGACTTCGCGGAAGGGAGTGAAGGGCGGGGGGATGGAGGCCGCCACGGTGAGGACGTTGTCCCAGATGCGGACGTCGCTGTGCTTGAGTTGGGCAGCGCGTTGGAGGGCCGCTAGGGCTTCGCGTTTGCGCTTGTAGGGGTCTTCGGGGGCGGGTTGGTTGGTGGTCTCTTCGTCTTCTTCGTCGTCGGCCTTTACGGGGGCCTCGGTGATGGGGATGGGGAAGGGTTCGGTTGATTCTGCGGGTTTGGGAGAGCGCAGGATCGCGGCGGCCAGGTTACTCCAGGCTTCGGCGTCGGTGTCTTCGAGCTGGACGGTGCGGGTGAAGGAGTCGATGGCGTCGTCCCATTTCTGGAGCTCCAGTTGCACGCAGCCCAGGGCGAACCAGGCGCCGAGGTTAAGACGGTTGATGTGGAGACTCTTGAGGTAGGCGTCTTCGGCTTTGTCGAGAGCTGGGGGCTTCAGGCTGAGGTAGTGACGGGCCAGGGAGCGCTGGGCGCGAGCGTATCTGTTGTTGGAGACTGCCCAGGCGCGCTCGTACATGGCTGGGTCGGTGTCGATGTCACCCAGGATGCAGAGGAGGCGGGGCGCATCGGCGGGGAGAGGGGAGAGTTCGGGCCCATCGAACTTCTCGTTTTCATCGTCGGGATCCGTGCCGGTGGGTTGGTAGAGCTGTCTGCGGACGAGGTACTTGGCCTTGTCCTCTCGTTCGGTGGCGGCGTAGCAGAGAGCGGCCTCAGCCCACATCTGTAGACGCTCGTAGATGTCCAAGGCTGTGCGCAGACCTCCGAGGTTGACCCAGCGGGTGGCGAGCTCTGCCTCCAGGCTCCAGCGGGTGGAGAAGCTCAAGATCCAGATGTACTCCAGACGCTCGGCGGCGGAGGCGGATTCCGATTTCTCGGGTCGGGGAAGGAAAGTAGTCGGCTCTTCGACGGATGTTCCTGCTTGTTCATCGGAGGTGGCGGTGTCGGCGATGACTTGGTCGACAAGAGCTTGCATCTGCAGGACGGATCTCTCGACAGTTCTGGCTTTGTATCCCTCGACTCGGCTTCGTACCAACAGGGCCTGAGTGTAGATCTGCCAGTTCGAGCTGCCACCCTCGAGCACACGGGTCGCGTACGGCTGCGTTTCCTCTCGGGTGAGGCCGTTCTCCGGTGCGGTGTTTGTAATGGCGGATGCGAAAGCAAGGAGAATAGCAGAGTCGACGGGGTCAAGCTTGGGTTGGTCGCCGGGGTCGAGAGACGCCAGGGAAGGCGGGAGATTCGACTCCTCCTGAACGGTCACTTGTGTGTCTTCGGATTTCTGGCCATCCGACTTGGTAAAGGAGATAGACTCGAGAAGAGTGTCATCATTGAGATCGAGCTTCTTGGGTACAGAGGGCTTGTCGCTCTCCGATTCCGCGGCGGCATCGGCGCTCTTAGCCAGGATAACCAGCTGACTGATATCACGGTCCTGGAATTTGGTCCTCTTTCCGAGCTTACCGGTTAGAGCGAACTCGAACTTCCGCTCCACGGCAGCCTGTTCGAGATCCTTTCTGGCCTTGGCATCAAAGCTGTGGTGAGTATGAATGGTAGCCCGTTCGAGAAGGAACCGACCCTTCTCCTGTGCAGTGCACTTGTCGCTCAGAACGAGCTTTTCGAGGTTCTCCAAATCGGTGTAGATGGAATCCTGCAGAGTGCCAGTGACTTCCGACAGCATCTTCTGGTGAAGGAAGTTGACCCGGACCCTCACAGTCCTAGCCACCAACGGACCGTTCGACAACAGGACATCAGCATCCACCAGCAGGGCCTTCGCCACAGCGAACAATTCCACATTAGGAGTCAGCTTGTAAGCGGCCTCACCGTCCACCGAGAGGTCCCGGATGACATGATCGCGGACGGCGCGGAGGGCCGCCGCGTCTGGCCGCAGGGCAGCAGGGATGATAACATCTGCAGGGCTGAACTGCAACGGAGGACCAGTGACATTCGACTGCAAGAAACCGAATAGAGCGGCCAGACCGATATAGAGCAATTGAGAGCGCTGTTGCTCAGAGGTCAAGCCATCCACTGGTGTCTGGGCGACAGCCTTTGCCTTTTCCGTCAAGAAAGTAGTATAAGAGATTTCTTTGCGAGAGACACGGTCGAGAGCCTCTGAGTCTGCTACATCATGTCCGAAGACTGCCTTTGCGGAGGGCAGCTGCAGGAGGGGCACTATATCCGCATCTGTGAGGCGGATGGGGTCATATTGTTGCCGAAGCGCGGATGACTCGTCGAACAGGGTGTTCAGAGACGCGGGGTAAGTGACCGTAGCGTCGCCCATAATGATTGTCACGGGGGTATCGTTTAATGCGTTATTGAAGAGCGAGGATATCAGTGTGCTGCTGGGAATCAATGCGATCTTCCGACCAGGCTTCTATGCGAATGAATTAATAAGACGGCACGAGACCCTCAGGTCGAGGTTTTTGAGTGAATTGACGGGAACTGATGTCTCAGTATAACATATCCTGTGCGTCCCTATATGAAGATACTACCCTGCAAGCCTGATGCCAGAGGAGAAACGTCTAAAGAAGCAACTGGGGAAGGAAAAGAAGGACTGGGCGCGAGACCGCGAGAACCCCGCCATCCCGCTTGGTGCCTTTTTTGCACTTTTTTTCTGCCGGTTTATCGATAAGCCATCTCCAGGCGGTGACGCCTTACGCTGGGATGTGGCATTATGCTATCCTTTGCAAGCAGCATTAATCTCCTCGCGATTATTGCTATGGCCACGCACTTGTACACTCACGAACGCACTATATGATCGATGGTCAATAATTTAGGCAGCTACAACCAGGAGATGATGATTGTATTTAATTGTACAGCTATTCACCTGTCGGATAATTCGCCATCCGACTAGCCGTTCAAAATCCATTATATGTGCCCTGGGGGTATCTGCAAATACAGACGTCAACGCGTTAAACATCCAAGCAAACATGCTCAAACACCGCAGCCCTGCCGTATAAACAATGCTCCTTGATTTACAAGAGCCAACCGGTAGCAACAATAAACAAGAATCGCTGTATCGCTCCCAAAAGCCTCGACGAATCAGGGGGTTCGAACCAGGCATATGTACCATAACATTCCCTCATACCGCGCCCAACAGAATTCACCAGTCCTGGCCACGATCTTTCATCAGAATCTCGATAGCCTCATCTTCCGGGACAGGGTTCTCATTTAATTCTTTGACACATTGGGTCAGCCCCTCAGCAGCTTCGTCCACCTGTTCGGCAGTCCATCCTGTACAGGCCATGACCATGCGCCGGTAGTTCTGGCCCAAAACCACGTTCTTGGACTTGAGGCGCTCGACCTCGTTCAATATGTCCTCATTAAACTTTTGATAACCCTCCGCTTTTTGTTGTAGGGTCTCGGGTGTGGGGAGCGAGCGAAGAAAGGCCATCTGCTGCTCGGAAAACCCAGAAGCAGGGTCGAATGTTTCAGGAAAGAGAGCCTCGAACTCGGCAATGTCGAGCCCATGTTCTTTGTCGGCGTCCCCAATCGCACACTTCTTCGACAAATCTAATGAATCTCCCTGGATTCCCTTCAGAACCACCAGCAGGTCGTCGGAAGACTTTTCCAGGTTTTTAAACCTTCTGCTGAGCTCTATGCGATCCGATGATTTGGACTTGAGCTCATCGAGCTGTTTTTGCTCGATCTGTCGTGCTTTGGCTGACTCTCGAATCTTCGAGTGCCAGTGGTCAAACTTTTCTTGCTTCTTAGCCAGGGTGGAGGCCAAATCTCTGTCAATACCACTCAATGTCTCTTGGACAATCGATGTGATTTGAGATAAAGTCGCTATTGAAGTCAGTTTTGATGAGCAGCTTTCAATTCAGGGGCACTCACAATCTAAGATTTCTTTCTTCGTCTTCTCCAGCTGGTCCATGAAGGAGTCACCTCCGTTTCCAGCTTGCTGCGACTGTGCGTTGCCGTCAACCATGTCTACACCAACACCGTAGTCTGCTGGCCGAAGACCAGTGTGGTTCGGTATGTGAGGATCAGCCCCGACTTCTAATAGTTGGGGGACAAGAACAGAGCGTGCGCGCCCAGCCAAGTTAAGAGCTGTATCCCCTTGGTCATCTCGGAGGTTAACGATTTCAGAGATGAAACGCCCGAGCGTCATTACTTCACCAGCCTGTGATAATTGCCCGTTTTCCATGGCACCATTCGGCGTTTGCCGGCTCAATGACGTGCCGCCATGACGAACTATGAATTCCAGCAAGGCTTCCAGGTAGTGCTTAGCAGAAACATGACCTCCACCACCGGTGGCAGCCATAACGGCGATGTGGTGAAGGATCGTTCTCCCACTGTAATCGACCATATCAATAGTTGGAGCCAGCACCTGCAGCAAGCGCGGAAAACTCCTATAATCGAGGTTGTTCCTCGTTCCTACAGACTTTTGCAGTGCCGTTTCACCTGCACCGTTCAAACGGAAGATGCTAACTCCTTTCTCAACAAGTGCATAGACAAGAGGCATCCGAGCGAGCATCGCCGCCCAGTGTAGCGCGTTGTTCCGATATTCGTCCAACGGAATTTCCAGATCCTCCCCAGTCAATTGCATCAAAGCCGGATGGGAGGAAAAATCGCGCGTCTTTTTGTCGAGGAATAATGTCATGATGAGCTTCATCTTCTGAAACCTCTCTGGGGTAGTGGCGGGCGGCAAAGGCTCGAACCCGCGCTTGCTACCATCCACTATCGATGTTGAGACATCCATATCTTGGTAAAAGGAGTCATTCGGCTCAGTTGGTGTTGGTTCAGCCATGGAAGCCGTCGAGTGCTCGTAGGGCATCCCGAACGACGGCGCCTGGTGAGAGGCAGACCGAACGCGCTTCCGCGGAGGTTCATTTGGCTCCTCGTGGTCGAAGCTGGCACCATCGTGCATAGCATAGCGGCCATTACTCTGGAAATTGTTTCCGAAACCGCTATCAGATGTCACACTATACATGCTTTGTTGACTGTTCAAAGGTATGTGGGTATCCTGGCTGCTCATCTGGTGCGAAGGCTTTCGTATAACACTTGATCGCCTTTGGTCAATTCCGCGAGCCGCAGGTGAGTCGAAGCGAGCCTTGCTCATGGCGTTCACTGCAGTCGCAGCCGTGCGAGAGATGTTCTGGAAGAATGTGCCTTGTTGAGGTTGGCTCATGCCGCGATTGTCCATCCCGCTGTACAGCCGTTTCCGTTGCGCAGCCATTGCTTGCTCCTTTGTCGGGGTGTCGAGTGAGTCTTGCGCTGTACCGTTTGTACCGCCCATGTCATATTCAAGAAGGGGTCGCAACAATTCTTCGACATGGTATTCCCGGCAAAGCTCCACGCCCCTCTGATAGTTGACCCAGGTTCCTTGGTATTTACCATACCCTCCTTGAACCTTTTCATGCTCGCCCGCTGCAATCTCCTTTTCCAGTGTCTTTGTCCTCCTCGCCTTGACCACACCGGCAACTTTGAGAATCTGCGTAGCATTGAGCCACGAATCGGAGCGACGTTTCATCACGGCGACACCGTTCACTTCCATTTCGTAGACGGAGACATTGGAGTAGACAGCCTATCAACACAGCAGTAAAACGAGTCAGTACCGTTTCAAGGGATTCAGGATGCGCAATGACGGGAAACAGACCCTATAAATTTGAGGTTTGAATTCTTCATGATACATCATCGTCCCATACCCATTCATGTCCTCAAAACCTGCGAAACTAGACCGAGGACCGTGCGGGAGGCCGTTCGAGTAACCAAAGGACATCGACTGTTGCGACCCTTTCGGAGGAGGCGTAGCTCGAGGAGTGGACGACACCGACTGGGAGGCGTTGAAGGAGCCCATTTGCGACTGCGAAAATACCATGCCATTGGCGGAGCTCATACTGCTCTGTGAATAGGACATTGGTAAGCCTGGGCGAGCTGGGTGGTTGTTATTGGAAGCCATTGAAGGAACGGTGAATTAGCAGTGTTAGGGTGCCCGACCCAGACACCGACTCAAGGCTGGCAGCTCTGTCGAAGGAAAAAATAAAAAAAGGTTAATAAATACGAATTGCAGGTACCATAAGCCAATAGCAGGGCCAGTTCAACAAGTGAACAGCATCATGACAGAATGAGAGATTCACGAAAGCATGCGGGGAACTGCACCTATCCTGGGATCTACTGCTCCAGTCTGACTGACCGGCCAGGCAATTCGGAACGTCGCGCGAAAAGAGAGAGGCGCGTGGCTAGCGCACCGACCGCGAAGGGATGAGACAAGTCAATGAGCCTGATTCTGGCGAGGCAGTCAGGCCCTGAACGGCCCGGAGTAATTTTACAAGTAGTGCAAAAGCCACTCTATATGCAGCTCTTTCAGGTGATCCTGTACAACATAGCCTTGCATGAAGAAATGGGGGAAAGGAACGAGATGAATGAGTTGATTGAAGTCGCGGGGCGTTCGTTATTCGCTCCGGTCGCGTTCGCGGCTAACCCGATTTCGCGTATCGCTGCCTCAAAACATCTATTGCCTGTTTGGGTTTCTCCAGACTCACCGCCTGCTGCTTCTGTCGGATAGCCTCGCGGTGCTGCGGAATCAACTCCGGGCTGGGGAGGAATCGAATAGGACGATAGAGAAATAACGTCAGACACCATGTCTGCCATTCAGATCCCTCCCGAAACATGGCGGCACCTTCTGCGCTCCTTACTCCGCGAATGTACCTATCTCCCTGACCCCGTCGCCAGAGTCACGTTCCATACCCAGATCCTCCAACGATTCCGACGGTATACCCAGAAGAAAGAGACGGATCAACACCGACTTCTATTACTCCGGAAATCAGCAACACACCAATTGTCTTTACTGAAACGAGCCAATGAGGGATATACTAAGCCGCTGGAAAAGGTCCTGCAACAGGCGTATGGTCGGAGAGGAAGACGGAGACAAGAACTCATACAAGCATTGGTCACGCCAGCAGACGCGGTGGACGCATTGAATGCGGCGGATGCGCAGACAGTGGCCCAGGAAGCACCAGGGATGTTTGAAGATGGATGGCGGCCTCCCTCGGTCATGGTTGATCTCTTGAAAGCTCAGAACCGTAACTCGATGATCACCACTTTGAATGCCGGCTATTACACCAAGCAAGTCGAGCCAGTTATTCCCGCGGAGAATATCTGGGGGAAGCCGCTCGCTCCGTCTCGTCGCAGGAACATCCGGAGGAAATGGTATAATCAGACGCTACAGAATCTGTTCCCACCGCTGCCTGACTCAGAGCTCAAGGTGTTGGAGGGTCTTATGTCGGGGACTATTCCGTGGGCGCCACCCAAACGACGAAAGGCAGTCGGGGCTTCTTCCGTTCCTGTTGAGTCCACTCTAGATGCTGGGTTTTTGACGGAGGGACCGCAGAAGGGGAATACTTTCGAAGATTATGTTGACGGACGACCCCATAACATCACACGACGATTCATGCAGAGGCTCTGGAAACGCATATCCTGTCTAGTTCCCCTAGTGAACTGGGATACCAGAAGCGGAAAGCCAGCATTCACCTGGGATGTACTGTACTCAAGGCCTAAGCTGGCTCTGAAGTTGGACGAAAGCACGGCATCCGAGCTATTCGCAGGCATCGATGCCAATGGCCGAATAATCAAAGAACAACCAAAAGAAGCAACAGGATGAACTGCAATTCGCTCAAAACTAATCAATCCAACGGAGTATATAACAAAGAACACAATACGCAACCGAACATAATTGCAAACGAGATGGTCCGCAGACGAGCCAAACAGTAACAATCACGAAAAATGCACCATCCCATACATATCAACCCAGGGTCTCTCATTGGGACCACACCACAGCCTCCCATTGGCCGCATTATCGAGCTCGAAGCCATTCGGCCAGACCTTCTCCATCTCAAGTCGGAAGGCGTCCTTCGGCTTCCCATTCTTGATTCTCAACTTCTCAAAATACACATACGCCGCATAGAAGACCGCCCCTGAGCTCCCAGCAGTAGGACCCTTCTTCTTCAAGAATTCCCCGAACGAATTCGCGTTCAGCCTCTTCGTACCCTGCGGGTACGCCGCCTTCGCAGCTTCTCGCATGAAAGCCGCCTGCGTCACTCCAGTCTTGCGCAGATGCGCCCTGATCTTCTTCCTCACCACATCACACGTCTCGAAGACCGGCACATTCCCATCCTCATCCCCATCCAAGTGAACATCCGAAAGATCAACTGCAGCCGGACTCGATGGTTGACTCTTCTTCGCCCTCTTCTGAGCATTTCCCGCCGTGCTTGCCGCAGGCTGGGTTGCAGCCAAAGGCACAACAGTACCTCCGCTCCGGCCGTCAAAAAACTTCAACGCATTGTTATACGTAGCCGACCGGGCGCCCTTGACGCCCTCCTGGCTCAAAAATTCAGCATATGACCGCGGAGACACGTCAATTGCGCGCTGGAAGTTGCTGGCGCTCATCTGCCCTGAAGCAATGAAATCGCGTATTTCCTGCCGGATCTCATCACAGCTTTTCTTTGTATTGCCAGAATGCGGCGCTGCTTCTGCCGCTGGCTGATTCTCTTTATCGGGGCCAGTAGCGATCGCGGGATCCATCTCAGTGGAGGTTCTCTTCTGGGCAGGCATATTGAATGAGCCGCTCAATTCCTCTAGAAATGGGTCAATGTATATAACGTGACTAGGTATATAATTAATGATTTTAATGACAGATAGAAAGACCAAAATCAAGGATGAGTACTATGAAGTAGTGAAAATAGTAAACAGAAGCACGCGCCGACGCGTCCAAATAAGCAAACAGACGGATCAAGTCCATACATCCTAGTTCAATAGCACTAAATGCTTTAGGAACGTCATATCCGGGCAGCGGCATGGGTGGAGCGATATGCTCTTTCATTATTGGCTCGTGGATGGTGGTGATCAACAGTCGGTGTTGAGGTATCACATCGTCCCTGTCATGAGATATTAGTGTCTATTGAATTGACACCTCTGTTCTCAGCCGGGGTTGCATGTTTGTTGGGAGGTGTGATAGTTGATCCAATGGCTTGGAACCGAGGTAATGGTAGAGTTTAGCTCAGTACTACTATATACAACGATCTTACTGTAGTATAATAGTATGTCTCTCGATTTCCATGGTGAGTAGGTAGGGGCCACAGGAGGCAAAAGATAATCGAAAACCTGAGTACGTAGAGCAGAATGAATGGTAGCCGAAGGTCGAGGTACTGTAAACCTAGAAGACTACAATGGCGTTTCTAACCACCTCCAGGCCTATCTAGAAACCGAACCCGAAAAAAACTACTAACATGCGAAGACAAGGAGTGATTTCATCAATAGAACATCGATTTGCAAGGCACACGCGTACAATACTTAGCTCTGAACTCCCAAAACATTTGCGCCTTTTCCTACCTAGCGGATTGTAAATCGAATGTAAAAAGAAACTGAAAATAATCAGACCAGATCATAGTGCAAGCCATCCATCAATCCATCACACATCACTTTACTACCACCTTGTCTGTCCGTGTCAGATACATCCCCGACTATTCACTCTTCTTCATAGCTCCACCTGCCCAGCCCTATGATATTGTACAATACAATGGATATTATTGAAAAGCAACCCCGTACGGCTCCTTCGTCCGGTCGTTAGAAATGAAAGGAAAGAGTTATCGAATTCTCCAGCTGTTGGAAGCAAGCATGTCATCATTGGTGGAACATTCCCTTTTCATAGGTACATTACAGGTCCAACGTCTTGTAGTCAGCGCCTGCTTCTGCACTCAGTGGCTGCACGCCTCTAACGTCACCTCCTGCCGGTTGGAAGTTATAGCGGTTGCCAATCCCAGTCGTAGCAGCATCGGCAAGCATGTTGTTGGTCTCCTCACCAGGGCCTCGAAGACTGACGGCCTGCAGGGTGTCCTGGACCTCCTTGACGCGCTTCTTAAAGGCCATGCGGTCGAGGAAGAGCTGCTGACGAGCAAGCTCGAGTTCCCGGCGTTCGGCTTCGATGATCTCCTCCATCTCGTTGAACTGCTGCAGCTTAATCTCGAACTTCTGGAGGGTAACGTTGACGGCCGAGGAAACCAGGCGGGTCATTTCACGTTCTTCGTGAGAAGCCAGGGCGCCAGCACGAGCGGCAGAAGCGGCAAGAGCCACGGTGGGAAGGGAAGCCTTGCCCTTGTCGGAACCAGCAACCTCGACGGCTTGCTCGGTTGCTTCCTCACGAGCAGAGTCCACTTCCATGGAATCCTCAGCCTTGACTGTCGCACTGCCTTCCTTCTCCTTGCCCTTGTCTTGAGCTCCAGAACCCTTCTCAAGCTGCTTTCTCAATTCCTTGCGGATCTCCTCCACGGAACGGCCGGCGGCAGCCGCGGCCACGGCAGGCTCAGCCATCTGTGCAAGGAAAGCGACAACGGACAGGACAGGGTTCTCGGCCTGGCTGATAGGCTCCCGCCCACTGCCTGCCCGAACCTCAGGCATGTCATCCAGATACTTGTCTTCGATCTCCAGCTGCAAGAACTTCATCACGCACTCCTCCTTTGTCCTGGATCCAACGTGAGTGGCAATTTGTTCCCAGTTGTCGTCAAAGTTTTCCAATCCCTCCAGCAGCAGCACAAGCTCCGAATCCGACCATGGCGCATCCCGATCGGGGGCTATCGAGTATGGGCTGTCTTCAAGCTTGACGAAGTCTGAGGCACTGTGGCTGGAGGGCATCCGGCCCTGCAAGAAACAGTTAGGGCACAAGTCGTATTTGGTGTCAGGTGCGGCTGGGTTGGCGGTTGCTGGTGTCGCCTTGGCGTAGTGGAATCTGAGGCGAGTACAATCGATGCCGCAAGAGAAGCAGTTGAACTTCTTTCTCGGCTCCTTGGAAGCGCTCTCCATCGCCTTGGTCGAATCGCCCGTCGTACCGTTCGTTGAGCCTTCGCCGTTGGTCTGCTTGTCTTTGTCCTCCGTGGCAGGAGTGATCTCCTTGCCCTTATCATCATACACATTGCGACGAATCTCGAGGTTCAGGTCGGCCTTGGCAGCTGGGGTCGCTGATGCCGCACGATCCGTAGCTGGCAAAGGCTTTCCAGGCTTGACAAAGTGGTTGGGTCCGGGCTGGAATGGCTGGAGGCCTCTGGGGGTATCGGCGACCACTCGGAAATGGCCAGTGAAAGGGGGGCCGATGTTGGACGGACGCGTTTGGGGATCCACCTGAATCAAGGTATCAGCACCTCAGGCCTGAGGTCGGCACCAGGCAGATACTTACCTGGTAGTTGATAAGACCCCATTGTTCCAGGAAGGAGTGCACACGCATGATCGCACACACGTCACCAGCAAGGTTGCGGCGGCACGCAGTGACTGTGAGGTACTCAATGGGGTTCAAACGGTAGGTGTTGATCATGAAATCACGGTAATCCTTGTAAACTGCAGGGGTCTTGCTACGGTTTCTGCCGTTGAAGAACTCCGCCAGAGCCTTCTTCTCGATCGGGTGGATGAGGTGCATGTCGAACCAGGTAGAGTAGCTGGGGAGGATGATGGCGTGGGTTTGCGAAACGAGATGTGAGCGCGCAGAGGCCTCAATGGATGCCTTGGCCTGCGCCGGCTGTTCATCTGTAGCACCTTCAGCGCCGGACTGTGCGGCAACATCAGCGAGATCCTCGCCTCCATCGGTCTCCTTCTTCGTCTCCGTCTCGGTGCCGCCCATCTCTTCATCCTCGGGTTCGCCATCGGCATTCTGGGGCTTGGGTGAAGCGGGTGCATCTAGCGGATTATCAGTATCCGATACAGTCTCGGTCTTTTTCTCAGGAGATCCCTGATGCGATTGCGATCCTGGGTGTCATGATGCGAGTGTTGGCAAATTCCAATCCCCTTAGGGGCGGAAAGAGGGTGAACGCACCGGAAGTGGTAATCACATCACCTGGGGCATCCTGTGCCACGTTAATAGCCTGAGCATCCTCAGTGGCGCCACCAGACATAACCTGGTTGTCCTCCATTTTGTTGGCACGATAGTCGACGACGGGAAGCTGAGGTCGCGGGTGGCAGAGAGCAAGGGACCTTGGCTCTGCTCAGAAGAAAGGTAGGCAGGGCGCAGACGCAGCCCTCTAAATGGTCGAGACGTGAGAGGAAAGGGTATTCGGGATAACCAAGATATAATGGGGGTGGATGACTCCACCAGACAGCGACGAGAGATTGATGGATGGGTGGCTTGGAGGCAGAGCGACTGTCGCGACACGGACCGACGCTCCAAAAACTCGCGCCAAGACCCTCATATGCGCTAGCCGTATCTGGTCTAGCCGCTACCGGGCTCCTCCCCATCGCGGATGGAGCTTCTTCGCTCTCCACATTATCGATCTATTCTCTACCAGTTCCTACTCTGTTCTAACGTCGCGATCTCTATTCAACAGCTATATTTGCAGAGATCGTAGAGTTGAGCAAGGGATTATAAAAGTACTTGGCATCATAATATTACTACATACTGGTCCCCATATCCGGACCTCAGGAGCATAAAACAAATTTGCAATGACTTCTACAATCCCCGATAGACATCCTAGGTTGAATGACGCTCCAAATCCACTTTCACTCAGTGCTTCTCATTCGCAATTGCTTCCTTCTGTAGTTCGGCAGTTCTGGTGATAGCCGGCCTTGCTTTGATCTTTTCGAGCCAAGAGTAAAGATTTGGGTACTCCTTCTCCATGTCAACATCATTATCCGTGGCGATTCCAAAGACATTAAACCACTGCACGAACGAGATGTCCGCGTAGCTATACCGTCCGCCAACTAGGTACTCCCTATCTTTAAGAACGTTGTCTAGCACCCATGACACCCGAAGAACCTCTTTCTTGTATCTCTCCTGAGCACTAGGAACCACTTCAGGGTGGTGTCGCCGGAACCAAACAGCCTGACCAAAGTACGGGCCCTGCCCACTCATCTGGAAGTGGAGCCATTGTTTTGTTTGGAAGTACTCAGGGGTACCAGCTGGGAAACTGATCTTATTGTCTTTGTCGTAGGTTTCGGAGAGATATTCGATAATGGCGCCTGACTCCCACAGGGTGATTCCTGTGTTGGGGTCCTCGATAGCGGGCACGCGGCCATTGGGGTTGACCAAGGTTAATGGTTCTTTCTTGACATCTGCAGCAGCTATGTAGATCGTCTTGTAGGGAATTTCGAGCTCTTCGAGTACCATGGCCACTTTCCAGGGGTTGGGGCCCATGGTGTGGCCGTAGAGGGTAATGGGTTTGAGAGACATTTTGTATGGTTATTGTCGCTGATGTGGTAGATGTTGTACTGAGAGGGATCTGTGATTTCTGAAGTGTGAGGATTTTTTGGAATGGTTATCTATATTCGATGCTAATCATCGTGTTATATATGATTCATCTACTCATTCGATAACCTTCTTCAGCGGCTGCCCTCCGTCATAGATGATGCTGATTAGAAACCATTCACTTCGGCATCTGATCGACAGCTTATGTCGGCGTTCGGCACTCCGTATATGCTGCTGACAAATTACGTGATAATCCACGAAGCGGCGCAATGTCTCATCCAGATAGATTATTTTGAGCCAGGAGCTGCGAGATGTCAGGAGTATACCTTTCTGTGACGTATGCCACTATTGTTTATTGATGATTTGTAAGACGGATCAAGGCAACTCCGTCGGGGTCAGGGACTTTCAAACGCCGGCGGATCTCATCCACCTGGATTTGGCATTTCGGTAGCCTCTTGTTTTGTTTGTAGTGGGGATCTATGTTTGATTTAGTATTCGTTCTGCTTGTGTCTCTGGTTGCATGGTCGCCCTGGTGTTTGTACCTGGCGCTGTATACGTTACGGTGGGTATGGGTATTCCTTGTAGGATTGTAAATAGGGTTTCACTCATGATGAGAATCAAGCACTCGTAGATACTATTAATATCACTTCTGTCATGAGTCCTCCAATCCCCAGAGTACCTGGTTTCTGTCCGATACGAGACGGGGATAAGCTGACGGGCCCCGCTTTGGCATATGAGGTCGGATGAGAAGCCACTGATTATCGCGAGTTATTGATACATGGAAGATGTGTCTGGTGGCTACACGCTTGGGTGCATGTCCTTTGTGAGGACAATTAGTTTCTCTATGGGCATGACTGTGAGTGACAGAGAGGCCCGTGGACATTAAGCTGCCCAACCCACGATGAGCGGCCGAATATATATAGTACTAGGACCACGGCAACACACGTCGGCATGAAGAGAGCGCAAACAGGTCACCTGGTAGTGAGATAAGATCTAGGAGCCGCCTCTGTATCTAAGCCAGATAAAAGCCAAAACTATAATAAGTAATACAACATACACAGCCAAATGCACCATGAACTCTTGGTACATACACAATCCTAGCTCAGTAGACTATCAGCGAAAAGATGATGCTCCGGTTATAGAGCACAAGTTTTGCCACTTTGCCAAGCAAGACGGGTCAATAGCTCAGTGGTACGAGCGAGAGATTGCAGATCTTTAGGTCGCGTGTTCGATCCACGCTTGGCCCTTGCTTTTTGATTTTTGAACTTCATGTACAGGTTGTCCTTTGTATGAACCTACAGCATTTGCCATTATTTTTTTTGGTTGCTGCTGGAATATTCACAGCACGTATTTAAGCCATAACCCAATCCACTGACACATGCCACTACCATATGGAAGATGTGCCGAGAAGCGAAAGTACCCATGGGTGAATCCCACAGCCCCTTCAACGTAGTATATATACTACTTATTCTTTGCACAGCTCACTCATGAGGTGTTAAAGATAAACACATACGAAGAACTACGAGAATATCAAGCTGTTACATATAGCGTAGTAAATTAGATGCGAAGAGAACTCGCAGACCTGGAAATGCCAAAGTAAGTAGTAACTGGTGGGTGATCCAGGGGAAGCCGAACACACATGGGTTCCCAGGGACCAGCAGGGACACAAACAAATCCGATTGACACGGAAGATGGCAATTCTTTGGCATTTGCAGGCATCAAAGCAATATAATCCAAAAAGACGCTCGACTTTTCAACAAGAAAGGGGCCGGTAGCTCAGGGGTAGAGCGTGGGACTGCAGATCTTAAGGTCACGCGTTCAAATCGCGTTCGGCCCTTTCCTTTTTTGTTTTTGTTTTCTTTCACTTGTTCATCCAAGATGAGAGAAGTTCCACGATTTTTTTTTTCTTCTCTCTCTTTTCTTGCGAAGACATATTGTGTGGACTGGCTGCAGTAGCCATTGCTATAGAAGGCCTGAACTTCATCACTACTCAGCTGTGCGGTCAACACTGTGGAAGCAAAGTCAAATAGTAGCCAAGTTTATATTTGAATCAAGGTCTATAGCCGCATTGGCGAGGTATCTAGATAGAAACATGCAAGTAGGTATCCCGAATGAATTTATATACAAAAAGACCCGAATGAAATAATCAAAATATTCATACACAAAATCAGACCCGTATAAGTAACCAAAATATGCGATGACCATTTCCGTAGGATCGATCAATCCGACACCGGATCGGCTGGGCTCATTGGGTGTGAATACAATGGCACTCCTTCATCGCTCCCCTCGTCTTCGGACGAGGCTGCGCGCGGATCAGGTAGACTGTCGTCAGTGCTAGATGCTGTTTCATTATCTAATTCAGATTTGATCGCCCTACGAAGGCGACGACTTGGAGGACTGTCTGCTTCCGTGGCCTTGGAAGGGACTAGCATAACGCCCGATCTCAGGTCTCTTCGTGGCGGATACCCTTCGTGACCTTCAAGCTCATGAATCAGGCGAGATGCATGTTCAGATATTGGACTCTCGTCCTGTGGCGATGAATCTTCTCTCTCTGGAGACTCGATTTCAGACTTCGACGGTGTCGGCACATCCACCCGCATTTCATAGTAGTCATCCCTATCGTCTGCCTCATCGCTGTCGCCACCCACAATGTGACTATCAGGGAGGCTGGCACTCTGCTGATTAGGAGCTGCAATCAGCCTATTTGTAGGCTCTGTATCCGTATCCTGATCGAAACGTCGCCTCTTCCGCCGGTTCTCTGAAAGATCATCGTAAAGGTCCACAAGATCATGACCGTATTCCTCCCACTCGCTGCGATAGAACGTCCTGTCACGCCAATCGACCAAGTCTTCCATTGTCTTGCGCTGACCAAGTGGCCTCCGTGGGACAGCATCTTGCGCTTCATACTCTTGGATTTGGGCTTCGAGGGGTTGTGGAGGTGACTCGCCAATGAGCTTCCATAGGTTCACTTCCTCGAGACGGCTCATCTGCCCATCAATCTGTTCAGCATGGTCATCCTCTAGATCAACTGGCTGTTCCTCGACTGGAAATAGAACAGGCGAAGAGAGCACAGATGATGCCGCAGAGGATAGCTCCGACTCGTCACTGTAATCTGCGTCATCGGCATCTGTCGTATTCCCTGGCGCACGACTTCCCGATCTTCCCCTTGAGGCACTTCTTTCACGAGACTCTGATTCGAGAGGTATTCTCCCAGACAAGATATCCTCTACCTCATCGTGCTCCATGTGCACTGCCTTCCACCCCTTTCGATGTCGAGAGTCTTCAACATTGAGACTGCATCTCCGCGCAAGGCCGACCCAGTAGTCGGAACGGTCCCGTTGCATGTTGAGCACGTCCAGTGCTGTCTTGACATCGCGAGCCCTCACGACGTTCGCCTTTTGATTGCCAGTCTGTCGCATATTCCGCAACCTTGACATTGCGAAGAAAAGAGATGACTGAACAAGACGGCGTGTCAGACTGACTGTCAAGGCATAGAAATCCGCAAATGAATCGGCGGTCATGGACGGTGTCTCATCAGCGAAGGCTACATTGGCCCAGTTGTCTTCCAGTCGTGCACCGCCAAAATTCATGAAGAAGCGTTCTGACAGCCGGATCCACTTTCTCATATTGAAGAGCTCAGCCGTTAGATGAGCACTGGAGCTAGCAGTTGGATCAGCGCCTTGGGACTTGACTTCCTGCGCAAGTGCTTCTGCTGTTTCTCGATTTATGATCCACAGGTCTCGGTGCTTCTGCTTTCCAGCAACATCTTCTGCCATCTGCTCCTCCATCGAAACCAACTCAGCGTATTGGTCGAGCTCATCACAGCAGTCCTTGCTTATTTCAGCTGCTGCGGGAACCTCACCTAAAATAATCGTCCTTGTATGACGATCCTTCAGGTGCTGTCTTTCCAGGCCATTATGGAGCAGGTTCAAATGCTCCTGAACTTCAAGCTCAGATTTCGAGCCCAGCTGACGGGAGATTTCTTGGATCCCATTCTTGCTCTTCCTATCCAAAACATGATATAGTACTTCCTTTTCGTTTGATGTCCACGTCACGATTCCATTCTGCGATGTAGTGTGGTTTTCGCCACCGTCGATTGTAGGAACGGGCGCATGATCTTCGATGAACCCCGCAAGAACGCTGGAGTATGCCTCCACGGACTCTCTCGATAGCGATAATTGTAGCTCCTCTAGCGCCTGGGCTCGCGTGCCTCTTGCGGATCTGCGCTCCGTCCTCGACGTTTGCACGGGTGGATATGCTGTCGACGAAGTGGGACCAGTTGACGGAGGGACCGGTAACGGGGCGCTTGTTTGCGAAGGCTTGATTTCGGGCTTGTATTCCGATGTATCGTCGTCGTCTTCCTCTGGTTCATATGGAGTTGGGCTGCTCATGATCGAAGAATAAGAAGGCCAAGAGGCAACCGCACCACAGGCATGGGATTAGGGAAGATGACGAAATCATTCCCCTTCTCTCTCGCGCGCCCGTATAATCAGGAGAGCATTGCGGCACCGGCGACAGGTACAAGGCCGGGGCGTCTGCAGTTGACTGATCAACTTTCGCAATTAGGATTGGAAAGTTTTCTGATAAGATGCGGTGTTTGCACTGTTTGTTTCCCCACCGCCTGCCGCTCGGATTGATTCCGCGACGGAGCAGCTTAACAACATATGAACACCGTTTACAACACTGGAAATATCCCGATTAAGTCTTTTAAAAGAGGCTTCGAGAGGATTACAGACACTCCCATAATGAAAAAATCTTCAGTCACTTTAGTCTTACTGTCAGCTGAAGCTTTGCGGCGGTAACAACGACGTCGTTGCCAGCAGGACAGTCTGTATGTGCGACTACCATGAGGAGTATACCGGTTTAGCGCCGGGAATCCAAACCAAGGACACAGACACTTAGAAAATCATACCTGCTACAGGTGCTGGGGTGGCTTGCAAGCTCGGATAAAACGAAGAATGGCCGATAAGGCTGAATTCAACCAGGTCTCTTTCTAGGATTGGTTGGACGATTACCGGCACAAAAGGGTGTTGATGACAAGAGTTTCAATCTGCCTCATCAAAGACAGAACCCAACTTTTGCATTAGAATCTCATTTACAGGTACGATGCCATATAGACTTCATCCATGTTATGAAGTCTAATCTCAGCCACTACGCCTAGTCTATCTCAAGGAAAAGTACAAGTATATTACTCAACAAGCTGGGTAATACCATCGAAAACAGGATGGACCTGGGAAGGGAAGAAAGTGATTCACCTACATAATCTTTTACTACATCAAGTTGCTACTAAACCAATCGATATGCTCGACTGCGCTTGACTGCTACCGCCACGGAATTACATCTGCAATATGTAGCCGAGGTATCTCCGGCTTCGTGTCTAATAGGTGGTAATCTATTAGCAGCCTTGCTATCAGCATCCAGCCACAGAACACACGGAAATTTGCCAAATAAGGCCAATTCGGAATAGACAGGCTAGAACCGGTGATTAATTCCGAGTCCAAACACCAGATTGGATTACCAAGTGGAGAATCGTAGGATGAAGCGGTTGGGAGCAAACAGAAACGACGGACCTTATGAGAGGGCGTGAGCTGGCTGAACTTCGGAGGTGCGACGGTGATGGTGGAACCCGTGGAGGGGTATGGATGCAGGACGAGACGAAGCGCAAGCCAACACCTTCTTTCTGAGTAAATTGCCATGACCCTGTCAATTCGGTGATTAGGCAATTGCTTCGCGCCTTCATTGGCCCTTATCCCTGCATCCGCGCACATTGGTCGGGAACATCTTCAGATTTGGGCTCTGTGTTTAACCTGCGTGCACACCTTACTATGCCTTGAAGCATACTCAATAAGATTTCCTCATTTTCGCTCTTTTATGTCACAGATACTGGCAAGGCGGCTGTCTAGTTCTCCGGGTTGGTTTCCCGTCCGCTCGATTGACAACGCTAAAATCTAGTACGCTGCCAACTAGCTTTCCCACTATATAAGGGAGCTCCACTGCGAATAAAGTGTGTCTGTCGTCAAGAGACCCACTAACCGGGCCACCCAGCCGTCAAATCAAGCCTCGGTTTGTTATTAGACAATCTGAACCACCGGTGCAATCGCCAGTTTGGGCTTGCAGCATGTCTTACTACGCAGACGGCAATTGATCGACACGCTCGTATAGGGATTCGCACACGAACGCCTTCGCTTCATACAATCTGCTCCACAGAACAACTTTACCCTCTCCATCTATGGCTACCCCAATTCAATCGTGCCATACGGGTTGACTTGCCCCGTGTAGCCATGTACTTACTACTTACTTCGTTGCGACTCGGGACCACTCCGGCTGTCAAAGCACAGGCAAGGAGTATCCGCTATGAAAAGGCGCTAATCGTGGAAGTCTTCCCGCAGTCCGCTTGATCTAGGGGCTTCGGCATATATTATGAAGTGTAGCCATCTCGAGGGACTCTGCTAACGGAGAAATTCTATCAGCGTTGAACTCAAAATGAAGGTCTCCAGTGCGGCAGTCCCTGTTCTCAGCATTCTGCCCGAGGCCAGCCTCGGGCTTGGCTCTACGCAACTTTGTGTATGTGGTTCATGTTCAGTACTTAGTCGGTGTACTAATAGCCTTGTCACCTAGTGCGCCGCTCTGCAAGCGACCTCCCTGCGTAATCAAGTCCTTTACCCTACCAGCGCTGCATACAATGAGTCCGTCGCATCTTACTTTGCGGTCAATGTTCAGCTCGATCCTACGTGTATTGTACAGCCACACTCTACAGAGGATGTCTCGCTCATTGTCTCGACTCTGACACAAACCGGCGAAACGCAATGTCCATTTGCCGTGCGCAGTGGTGGTCATACCACCTGGCCTGGTGCAGCGGATATCGGACAGGGTGTTACCATTGATTTGTCCATGATGAAGAGCACCACATACCACAAGGACAAAGGCGTTGCATCTATCCAGCCAGGGGCGCGCTGGCAGGCGGTCTACAAGGCTCTTGATCCGTACGGAGTCACAGTACCTGGCGGACGCGGTGGACCAGTTGGCGTGGGTGGGTTCTTGATCGGAGGTAAGATTCAGCGACAGTTCAAACGAAAGTGGTTGCATGTCTAATGCCCTGATAGGTGGAAACACCTTCTACACCGCCCGTGTAGGCTTCGCATGTGATAATATCGAGAACTTTGAAGTCGTTCTTGCCAGTGGATCGATCGTCAATGCCAACCGGACTAGCCATCCTGATCTGTACAAGGCGCTGAAGGGTGGCTCGATCAACTTTGGAGTTGTCACAAAGTATGACCTCAAGACGTTGCCTCATGATATGCTTTGGGGTGGATTAGTCGTCTATGATAATTCAACCACCGCCCGGCAGCTCTCGGCCGCTGTGAACTTTACCAACAACATCCACAATGACCCATACGCATCCTGGATTGGGATGTGGGAATACAGCTCGACAACAGGTCAGAACATCATTGCCGATGCCTTGGAATACACCAAACCTGTTGCCTTTGCTCCTGCATTCCATGAATTTACGAGTATTCCAAACACCACCGACACGATGCGCTTTGCTACGATTTACAACCTGACACAAGAGCTGGTTCAGGCGGCGGGCTACCGGTAAGTGTCCAATAGATAGCCATCTTCGGTCATCTTCCTTCTTGGAAGGTAGTCGATGGTGGTGTTTAAGTCGAGTTCTCGTTGCTTGGGGCGCTAACAACTCAGTGATATTTTCACCACCGGCACGTACAAGAACGACGTCAAAGTCCTTCGCAAGGCGATTGACCTTCACAACAACAACATTGAAAAGGCCAAGGCCCATGTCAAGAGTGACTACTGGGCCATGGATACCATCATCCAGCCCTGGCCCAAGCTTTTCGCTCAGCACAGCGTGGAGAAGGGTGGCAACGTTCTGGGTTTGGAACGGTTTGACGAGAACCTGATCCGTATGTAACCCGACCTTGTTTCTAGCGCAGCACTAATCCGTTTACAGAAATACTATTCGATTACTCCTGGGATGATGCAAGGGACGACGATCTCTTCATCGGCCTTGTTCAGTCGATCCTGGAGGAGGTTGATGAATACGCCAAATCGATTGGTGCGCACAATGAGTACATTTATCTCAATTACGCCGACAAGTCGCAGAACCCTCTCAAGGGCTATGGCGAGGAGAATGTTGAGTTTATCTCCCGCGTGGCCAAGCAGTACGATCCAGATGGAGTGTTTCAGGTACAGGTTCCAGGTGGCTTCAAGATCAGCCAGGTTTAAGCACCATCGAGTTCAAAATTTACGACTAGTCGAAGTAATTTTGTACAGTAGACCACGAAAACGAACAGAATAAATTAGACAACACAAGCTCCACCCCCTCATTTTGCCTTGCTAGGCTGCGCCATTTTTGACACGGAATTAGTGCCTTTTTAAATTTGCGGCGCAGTCAACCCGCATCGCGGTGGAGCCGATAATGAAGCCAGCACGAGCCGTTTCAACGCGATCCGAACTAGCACGGTCTAATCGTTCGCTTCTTGGGGCTCTACCACCGATCTTTTCCACTCCTCCCGCCGTCTCTCGGGCCTCTGGACGGCCAGGCTTTGGCCCGGACGACGGCTGGACGCGATGGCATATTGGACGCTCCACAAGGATGACACTATCCATGCACCGGGAAAGTTCCCAAGCCTGGTTGGATTGTTATTGTTAATCACAGTAATATACGGAATGTGGTACAATTTGCCACGGCTAACGAAGGATGCGCATATCCTTGTCATCTTGGGAGAGCGTGCATAAGCTTTCGATAGCACCTTCCGTGTTGGAATCCATCGAGCGTAATCAATACGCTTTTCCATGAAGAGAAAAAGCAAGGAAAAACAAAAATGAACAAATGCAAATTCTTTCTCCCCATCATGTCTGTGCCATCGACTAGGCCTTCCCATGCCTCAGGGGCCACCTCAGAGTATAAGCTCCCTTCTGGAACCCTTCTATGCTTTATGACAGTGTGAGGCTTCAGTGAGAGGCTGTTGGCCTTCGATGCCACTTGAATATGGCCATTACTACAATGGCGAATCCTCCTCCGGGGGAGACATACGATTTTGACTACTCCCATCGCCATTTGTATACGGCCAATATGGCGGTGATTTCGGCGGGCTTAATCATCAGCACTAGCTGCTTAGTCCTGCGAGTGTATACCAAAGCACATTTGCTGCACAAGTTCGGATGGGATGATGGTATGTTGGCTGTATCGTTGATGAGCGTGTCTGTCTGACTGTTAAAGTGTCAATTATTCTTGCTTGGGTAGGCTGTCTCAGCGATTGGAACTGAAGCTATTCCCGCTAATCTTGCTCCAGGTGTTCTCTGTGAGCACCCAAGCATGCTCCATCTGTAAGTGGCTACTGCCATTGGCTACTACTCTACTAACATATCAGATGGATACAAACACGGGGGCATGGGAGTCCACTTTTGGAATGTGACGCCTGCAGTCTATGAAGTATATATCAAGGTTGTCCTCTCCGCAGCCATTGTCTACGTCCCCGCTCTTGCCCTTGCAAAAATTAGCCTGATTATCCTTTAGTACCGCATTTTGTGTCACAAACGGTATCAACAATGGATTCTATACGGCATCGCGTTCGTGGTCAGTAGCTACAGCTTTGCGCTCGTCATGGCCTTCATTTTCGGCTGCCATCCAATTCAAAAAGGGTGGAATATATCAGTCACGGGGACATGTGTCAACCAATACGCGCTGTATGTTGCAACAGCCGTGTTGAATATCATCTCCGATATTGCGTTGATTCTGGTACCTATCCCAACGGTCTTGGGGCTGAATATGCCGGGAATACAGAAGCTAGGCCTCTCTCTGATGTTCATGGTTGGCTGCGCGTGAGTATCGTGATCATCACCATTCATGTTACCTGCTGACAATTTAGAACTCTTGTCACGGGCATCATCCGTCTGATCACATTGATTCCCTTTCTCAACTCCCCTGACCCAACCTACAATATCGGTCGACCGGACTTGTGGATGTAAGTATGCCGTTACCCCTGCTCCTCTTTCTTATAGTAACATAATTGCTCTAGCAACATCGAAGCAAACTTTGCCATTATCTGCAGCTGCCTCCCCTTCCTCCGAAATTTCCTCCGCCGCTACGCCCCCCGCTTGATCGGTGAAAACAGCAGTCTTGCGCGTCGTTATAAGAGCTACACTTATGATTATACTGGGGGAAGCCGAGGCCGTCGAAAGGAGGGTCTCACGCAGCTACAGGATGATATTGAGCTTGCTGAGAATGGAGCAAGTATGCATAGCGGAGTTAGGATATTTAAGGATGTCAAGGTGGAGATTACTACGGAGACGATGCCGGATGTAAATGAAAGTAGAGATGGATATAGATGAGTGTTACCCGCGCTATCGTTTATAGTATAAGACATATGATATTGCTCATCTAGATGAGCCGAGAGTCCGGTTTATAGCTTGTTTCATTGCAGATTTGTCGTTCAGACACATGACTATGTCTTTCTTCAACCAGTCATGACACTTACAGTCTCAGGTGAGGAAACTTCCAAGATTGATTCGGTCTTGTGGTGCCATAAACACTAGTAGTCTGTCAGTGCATACTTTTTAGCCAAGCTTTTTTTCTTGTACTTACCGCCTAGCTGTTTCGCGTGACGACTGGATGCAATGGATCGTTCAACATCTCGACTCACTTTGCCTGATGACCCAAGTGTGTCTTCTGAAGACCACAATATAGCGTCGGTTGCTTCAGCGCAAGGGAATTCTAGCTCTTCCACATGTGGTAAGTATAAGAGATCTTCCATTCTCGCTTCTGTGTTTTCTTATCCTCAGTCTGCTGATCTTGCTGAAACCAGACCTTGCTCTTACACACTCAAATGCTCCACACACGAAGGCAGACGCCTCTGCATCGACGTTCACTCAAGACACCCCGGTACCGAGATTGCCGGATGAGTGGAATAGTGTGCAACTGCACGATGCGAGTGCGAGCATAGCTTTAAAGGCGCTCATAGATAACCATATTCCAGTCATGGAATATAGCTTACAGATTGCATTCAGCGTTGGGAAAGCGTCCTTTTCGTAGGCGTAGACGATGATCATCTCATTATTGCTTGAAAGTGACTGACTCCTCACTAGGCTATTGAATGGGCTGTCCCTGACGAGTCCCTTCCATTTGCTTCTCAAGTACCCACAGAGATTGGCTTTCTTCAGGTGGCAAAGCCTAAGCACTCTAATGTCTATCTTGGGGACTGGGATGGACTCTGCCATATTCATACTAGAAACATTGAACACGAATCCCCCGTTCATCTTTATCCCCTCTCTGCTCTTTATTTAACTGTTGAATGTACATTTGAAGCTCCAGCCACATTTGATTCTGATTTACGAATCCTGACACCGAAACCGCCTAGGTATATGCTGTCGATGGTCCATCATCTCATCAGCAATCCTACCAACCAGAATATGCGATGCCGGGTCATAATGGATCTTTCCTGCTCTATTCAAGGATGTATTCTTCATGGGCCCCCTGCAGAAGAACGGGAAATGACTGTTGAAGAGATGGATACCCTGACCAGGCTCAATAGTGTGTGTGAATATCACAGGTAACCATTGTCTTATCAATAGGTAGAAGATGATTTGGGGAAGAGGGCCCGACATTCAGTATCATGAATAAAGTGGCCTTTCAGCTGGTTTTATGGCCACCTAGGCGTGGATGCCAAAGAGACCAGGATTATTGAGATTCACTCTTGTAGGAAGGTCATCGTATATGTGTTGAAACAAGCCTTATTTCATCCTTTGCTGGAGTGTAAACGCCACCCCTTATTCAGGGCGATGGTTTAGAGCAAGGCCTCAGATGAGACGGCTCGGGTAACTGATCGACAGGTGGAGTCTGGAGTAAGCACTAGATAGCTAAACGTATTCGGTTAACCGCACTACAAAGCCCCCGAAGAGGCCCAACTGTAGGCCCCCTCGGTGGAGGGTCCAGACCGCTGGAGCCGCTGTTCGCCTTCGTATGCAGGCCAAAGACTGGACCAACAAACCAACCGCAATCACCATGTAGATTGATCCGGTTGCTGTAGTATGAGTTGGTCTTTGCAAGGGTACTCCCTTGCTCTCTCATTTGGCCAACTTTAGGCGATTATAGGTCCAATCTTCCCTGCGTTATTGCCCCTTTTCACGGGTCCTCATATTCCCATCAACCCATAATGCATTCATTGTCTTCTGCTTTGCCCGCCAGCCTCTGTTATTGTGTGCCGACTGCAATAAAGACCAGCGGTTTATAGAGAATGTCTTTGAATCCCCTCTCATCAATTGCTCTACAAACTGCCGTGGTGGTGACCACGCTCGGCTTTACCCCGGCTCAGTCAAGCCTGAGGCCTGGTGCATTGGTAATCGTTGCACTATGTACTGGCCACTGTATCTCCACCGCATTGGAATACTTCATTCGAACACCATGGGCCAGCCTCGCAGGCGGCTATTCGGTCATGTTACTGCTTCACTATATTGACATTGGCTTGTTGACGCGGTGGGAATTTGTCGACCCCTCACAAGCGAAATCGCCGGAGACGCTAAATCCAACCTGGGCCCGGCTGCGGTTTGGCGTCTGGGCGGCCTTCAACGCGCGATGCATTGGGACGCCTGAACAGGTACACAACGTCCCTGAGGCCGTAACCCGCGACCGAACCGCATTTCTCTGTCGATCTGTGGGGATTATTCTCCTCAGTTATCTGGGCCTTGATGTGCTCGGGTCAATGGGTGATCCTGAGGTAGGATCTCGCTTCCTCATTGCATCTCGTGTGCCATTCTTTCGGAGACTCTCCGAAATCACTGCAGAAGAGATCATCATTCGAATCTGTTCTGGCATTGCAGCTGGTATAGGTCTGTTGGCCAGTCAGGGAGGCTTCTATTACCTCTTTGCATTCACCAGCGTTCTTCTGAGGTGGAGCAAGCCGCAGGACTGGCCTCCTTTCTATGGAGACTTGTCGGACGCGTATAGCCTGCGAAGACTTTGGAGGTAGGCAACCCCTCCTATTCTTCTCCTGATCCAAAATGGGGCTGATGTCCTATCTAGTCGCGTGTGGCACCAATCCAATTCCCATAAATTCCGTGCAATCTCTCGCTTTTTCGCTCGTGATGTCTTTCGCTTCCAACCAGGGACTCTCGCCGACCGATATGCCAAAGTTGTGATGGTGTTTGCAACCTCAGCATTCATGCACTTTCTCATTGACCTGTCGTCGGGGCTATCGTCCTCTAGCTCTGGGGCTATGCAGTTCTTCTGCACGCAGGCCCTCGGATTAATGATGGAGGATTTTGCTGTCAATGCTTACTTTGTTCTACGTGGCGGGCCGTCCCGCAATTGGAAAGCTTCTCGCGGCGAACGGTTGATCGGATATCTTTGGGTTGGTGGCTTTTTGGTCTGGTCGTTTCCTGCATATCTTTATCCGATGTTGTATCGCTCTAACGCGGGTCTTAATGACTCGGCGGTCCCGGTGAGCGTTGTCGGGATGCTGCAAGGCAGTTCTTGAACCTGTTACGGCAGTTGGTGTCTATTGTGCATCAACAGAAGAGTGCAGGCGGGTGAAGATAGTGCTAGCGTCCTAGCAATATGGGAACCTTCTCTAGTGCCTTCTGCAAGGGAAGAAGCAGGCATAGCGTGCTTGTGGTTGGCAAAATATGTGACGGGAATGTACTAAGCTGCTGAACCAACCCCTCACTTTCTGTTCCCCCTCTACAGTAGCATCAAACTTAAGGATTGCTCTATAAAATGCCGGAGAAGGCCTATGGAAACTGTCTCACTCTTGTTTAAACTAGTAAACATGAATATCAAAAGGACAGTCTGAAGACCGACTGCTACGCAACAAGGCTATTCCCATGCATGCCAGAAACTAGTACCTCAAGCCTGGAAGCAAATGTGACCAAACTTGCAGCAACAGCTTCTTATTATAGCTCATCTAACGCCGATCAATCATGACCAGGGCGTCGCGAAATTAGTGCGTGCAGCACTCCGCCCCATCTACCCCTCACTCTCATATTTCTCCGCGCCTGTACAAACTAGTTCAATTAATCCCACTGCTTGTGAGTGTGCGCATGGGAGCGAAATTGCCGTCATGTGAAGCAGAAAAAAAAAGGTCCGACATGCTTCCATTGTACCGATCGCCAAATGATATGATTGTTGGCCGTTGTAACTAGTATAAAGAGAGAGTTCAGTTGTTAGTGCTTAATGATCCTCCGGGAAATCAATGGGAAGCACTAGTGTAGTAAGCCAACCTTGCGAAAAGTTGCTGGTAAGCAGGCTGACAAAATTGCTTCGTACTTTTGAAGCAGGCAGTGTATGGCGGCCCATGAAGCACATTTTAATTGTCCTAGTAATGCACACGGCGTACGGTTGCTTACAACTTGGTCATTGTGGTAGTCTCTTGTCTGTAGAGGACGCTCCGATAGGTGGGGAAGTGCAGCGACGTAGTACTTAGTCTCTCCACCTGCATACATCTTTTTGTTAGGTGCATGAAGGGCTATTTGCTAAGTCTGATCATCAGTCTGACTGCTCGGGGTACATAGCTAGCTATGTTGCCCCCTCCATTCCTGCAGCAGTTCACTACTAACGAGCTGTGCTGGATGTTGTGTCTTCCAGAGGCGTGAAACTTGGGGTGTCATGGCTAGTAACTATATAAACGAGGCTGCATTTGTGGTACGTCTGAAAGAATGCCCCCCATTGAACCAAAAACATTCCTAGCTGACTAGTTTTGTCCCGTCAAGGCCGTACTTTGGGTCTGTTTGACAATAACATTCTTCTTCGTGCTTGTCCGGCTGCTCCTCCAATACTACGTCGACCGCAAGTGGCACACACACGATGCCCTCATCTTAGCAGCTTGGCTACTATCCCTCGCAAACTGTATCGTGTGGTCGGTATTCTATAAGCAGCTGTTCTACGTGGGGACCCTCATCACCGGCTCAGTTGATTACTCGAAGTTGCCGGTAAATATCAGGATCATTGAGGAGCAGTACCTACGTAGCCAGCTGGCCGGATACCTCCTCTCGTATACCAGTCTGTGGCTGGTTAAGCTGTCCTTCATATTTTTCTTCCGACATCTGGGGAATCGATATCGTGCACAACGCATCCTCTGGTGGGCGGTCTTAACGTTTGTTATCGCCTGCTATGGTGGTACATTGGGTAGCATGGATTACGCATGTGAAATGGCTTCCTTTGAGAATATCATCGGTCAGCTCTATCCTTTCTTTCCATTCTGGTCGTGCTTCCAGCCTAACCGCGCTATGAAACAGAGGCTTGTGCGAGTGCGCATTCAATCTGGTACGAACGTGTACGCCTCAAGGTCGCAACAAGTATGGATATTGTGTCTGATGCAGCCAGTACGACCATCCCTCTCGCTTGACTTTCTTCCGTTTAACATATCGCGATTAGTTATCGTTCTCTCTGGACATATCATGTGGAGAGTGAAAATCAACGTTCGGAGAAAGCTCGCATTGATCGGTGTCAGTTTCCTGACGGCGTTCATCATCATCATCGCGCTGGTGCGGCTTGAGCTAAGTGTCTCAGGGACGGGCATCCTGAGCCCTGCCTGGCTCGTCTTCTGGAACGCGATCGAGATCTGTGTGGGTAAGTCTTGTCACTGATCGGCAGATGTAAAAAAAATCTGACGATGCGATTATAGCGATCATGATGGCTTGCCTGGCATCATTCTGGACCTTTTACACCAAACTGAAAAGGCCCTCACAGGCTCCTCGGCGGCGCGCCGAGTGGCTCCCTCCACGCGGTTATGCCTCGCTCGAGAGACCAATCCTGCTGGATGGAAGACTAGGCGTTAGATGCTTTCACAACCATTCGGACCTCTCTGTGCAGAGCCACACTTCACTGAAGATGGGCCATGGTGCCTTGAAGGGGAAGACGGAGGAGCCTTAAAGGGGGAAATGGTTTTGGCACATTTTTGTTAGTCTGGAAAGTCGTATGGCAAAATTGGCCGTAGAACGATATAGAGGTAGATGACTGGGCAAATTTACGAATAAATAGTGACTACTGATGACAAACATAGCAAATAATTACACGTTCTTGATGCAAGTAGTTGGTTCTATCATGATACCACAGCCTGAAGGATGGCAATTTTGGTTTTTGTGGGTGTTATGGTCCGTAATGTAGTATGCAGTATAAGAAGCGACTGTCCATAAGATCCGCCATCGAGCAACTTAAGAAACAGTTTGCTGTCCATTAGTACTCTGTATCTATGTGATTGTATTCTTTGACTATTATCAACTTCGTAGGACCAGGCAATGGTCCTATGCAATTAGCAATACTGGTTTATTACAGTCCCAGTAGTGAATACGTCCCTAGATGACGTGAACTGATGTCTTCTTTGGGCGGTCACGGGGTGTTGGGCCTTGTTCTTTCTCTTCTTGCTCGCTCGTCCTTTCTCATCTTCACCTCATCCCCCTTCTTCACATCATCCCTTCCATCTCATCCCATCCCCCATCTCATCTCTCCCTCCACCTCATCTTTTCCATTTCATCACCTCCTCCCCTCCTATTCTCTACCCCTCATCTTCTAATATTCTCAATATCTATCTCTTTTTCCAGGACCACCCCGGCTTCTGCGCCGGCAAGATCATCCAGCATATCCAGCAGATAAGATTCAGCACTTTTATTTACATTGCTAGATTCCACCATTATATATACAACAGTCATTTTTTCCTACCAGCCTTATCCCACAACAGGCCTATAATTAAAAGCCCACACAAATCAACAGCCCATCAGATCTTTCTTAATAATTTATTTTATCAGATAAATCAGATTTTTGCACAACTGAAGACTGTCTCCATCTACTTCTTTCAGTATATATCAAAGATATAAACTGCTAGACTTACAACTAATCTATTATATGTAATATATAGAAACCTGTTTTTCTACAAAAATTCTGGATATCAACAAATATCTAGTCTATTATTAACAACAGATCCATTTATTTTCCTTGATTATAGACGGTACCTGTCCTCATATCAGCTGTTATCTAGAAAATCTATCAAATTTAATAGTATTGATTAATCTGGAATAGAAAGACATCTAATATCCATTTAAAATATATATTTTGTCGGCTGGTAAACCTATTCCATTACTAATTCAATTCTTATTGAATTATTAAAAATCAATAAACCCGGAAAAACCCAGATCAACTACATTTCCCATACAAGTTATATGGAGTTTCCAGCTCAGAAGGAAAAACATGGGCCAGATCCTTTTACATGTGAAATCTCGTGTTCCTTGATATCATGATTATCATTCACTGTCTTTGACCCTACTTTTGACCCCGCTTTCTTTGTCTGATGATTAAATATCAATGATCTAGATTATTAGTAAATTAAGTATAAATAAAGTCTCTTTACCTCTAGCTGATCTTTTCTAAGTAAATTAAATTATTTTATTTATTTTTTATCTTAGAATTTATTTATTTTTTATTTAGAAAGATAGTTTACTTTCTTTTAATTAGTTTATTAATTATATTTATTTTTATTATTTTAATATCTAATTTCTTAATTAAAATTAATATTATTTAATCTGACTATTTATCTTTATTATTTTTTAATATTTAGTTTTTTAATTAAAATTAATATCATCTGGTTAAATCCATATATTTCTACTTAAGAAAAATTATATTCTATTTAATTTAATAATATTAAATTTTTTTTTTATAAACTTAGTGCTACTCCGGCCAGTTAATATATTTTATATAAGTATCTATAATATAACTATTAATAACTGAAGATAGTATCTATTAAACTTCTATTAAATTTAAGTATATTTATTTTCTATAAAAATATTTTAAAAATCTTCTAGCTACTATTAATACAGAATAATTATATATTAAATAAATAAAAATAATTTTTATTATTTATATTCTTAATATTTCTATATATTTTATTCTCTAATAGTCTGCTGCTGGACAGCTAACTATTATTATTTTATATATTTAAAATATTAATAATCTAAAATTATTTCAATAAGCAGTACTTTCTGCAGTTATTAATATAAATTAAAAATTTATTATTTTTTTAATATTTTAAGATTTATAGTAACTACTTATATAATTCAGAAAACTAATCAATATTTATTATAATTATTAAATTTCTATTCTTATTTTATAGCTTATAACAGCTGTATTTAAAAATAATTAACTATTTTTTAATTTCTACTAGATTTTAATAATACTATTAAATATTACTAAATTATATTTTATAGTTTAGTTTTTCACGAGTATTATCTGATACTAATTAATATTAGAAAATTATTTA